AGTGAAGTTAGTAACATGCATTAATGGGACATGAATGAGTGCAGAAAAGAGAGAAGAAGAGAGGAGTTCAGTGCACCCTGGGAAATCCCCCGATAGTCTAGGCCTATAGCAGCATAACTAAGGGATGGTTCAGGACTCACCTGATCCAGCCCTAACTATAAGCTTTATCAAAGAGGAATGTCTTAAGCCTACTCTCAAATGTGGTGAGGGTGTCTGCCTCCCGAACCACAACTGGAAGCTGGTTCCACAGGAGAGGAGCTTGGTAGCTGAAGGCTCTGGCTCCTGTTCTACTTTTGGAGACTATAGGAACCACAAGTAGCCCTGCATTCAGAGAACGTAGTGTTCTAGTGGGGTAATAGGGTACTATGAGCTCTTTAAGATATGAAGAGCTTTATAGGTGAAGAGGAGGATTTTAAATTCTATTCTACATTTTACAGGGAGCCAGTGCAGAGAAGCTAGTACAGGAGAGATGTGATCTCTTTTTCTAGTTCCTGTCAGTACTCGTGCTGCAGCGTTCTGAATTAATTGGAGCGTTTTAATGGACTTATTGGGGCAACCTGATAATAAAGAGTTGCAGTAATCCAGCCTTGAAGTAACAAATGCATGGATTAGTTTTTCTGCATCTGTCTGTGATAGGATGTGTCTAATTTTTGTAATATTACGTAAATGAAAGAAGGCAGTCCTAGAGGTCTGCTTCATGTGGGAGTTAAAAGACAAATCCTTATCAAAGATAACTCCAAGATTCCTGACAGTGGTGCTGGAGGCCAAGGTAATGCCATCTAGAATAACTATATCTTTAGACAGTGAGTCTAAACAAGAATTTTGTTTTTTTTCTGAGTTTAACATCAAAAAATTGCAGCTCATCCAGGATTTTATGTCCTTAAGACATGTTTGTAATTTAGATAATTGATTAATTTCATCGGGCTTGATCGATGGATATAACTGCATATCATCTGCATAACAGTGAAAGTTAATGGAGTGATTCCCAATAATGTTGCCTAAAGGGAGCATATATAAAGTAAATAATATTGGTCCAAGTACAGAACCTTGTGGAACTCCATGACTAACTGTAGTATTTATTGAAGATTCATTGTTAACATGTACAAACTGCGAATGATCTGATAAATATGACTTAAACCAGCTTAGTGCGGTTCCTTTAATGCCAATTTGATGCTCAAGTCTCTGTAAAAGAATATTATGGTCAATGGTGTCAAATGCAGCACTAAGATCTAATAATACAAGTACAGAGACAAGTCCATTGTCAGAAGCAATCAGAAGGTCATTATTAACTTTAACCAGAGCTGTCTCTGTGCTATGATGGACTCTAAATCCTGACTGAAAATCCTCAAATACACTATTGTGAATCTTAGAGAGGAATGGGAGGTTAGAGATTGGTCTATAGTTAGCTAAAACCCCTGGGTCAAGAGTGGGCAGCTACTTTAAAGGACTGTGGTACATATCCTGATAATAAAGAAAGATTAATCATATCCAGTAAAGAAGTGCCAATTAAGGGAACAACTTCTTTAAGCAGCCTAGTTGGGATTGGGTCTAATAGACAGGTTGATGGCTTCGATGAAGAAATGATTGAAGTTAACTGATGAAGATCGATGGCAGAAAAACAGTCTAAATATATATCTAAGTTTACATTAGCAAAAGTCCCTGAACTTGGAGAGCCACTGATAACTGTTGATGGCAGTTGGTGATTAATTTTCTCTCTAATAGTAATAATTTTATTATAGAAGAAGCTCATGAAGTCATTGCTACTTAAGTTTATGGGGATATGTGGCTCAATAGAGCTGTGGCTCTCTGTCAGCCTGGCTACAGTGCTGAAGAGGAACCTAGGGTTATTCTTATTTTCTTCTATTAGTGCTTAGTAATAGGCTCCTCTGGCATTACGGAGGGCCTTTCTATAAGTTTTAAGATTATCTTGCCAAATTGAGCGATATTCTGATAATTTGGAAGAGCGCCATTTCCTTTCAGATTTCCTAGCTATTTGCTTTAACTGGCGGGTTTGGTGATTGTACCACGGTGCTAGTCTCCTATGTTTTAATAATTTCCTTTTTATAGGAGCGATAGAGTCTAATGTTCTTCGTAGTGAGCCTGAAGCACTATCGACAAGGTTATCAATTTCAGAGGGACTAAAGTTGTTATAGGATTCTGTTGAATTCAGACATGGCATTGAATTAAACACTAAAGGAATCTCCTCCTTAAATTTAGCTACAGCACTGTCAGATAGACATCTGCTGTAGGAAGTTTTGCCTAATGGCTTATAATCTAATAGTATGAATTCAAAAGTTATTAAATAATGGTCAGATAGGAAAGGATTATGTGGGAAGACTATTAAATGTTCAATATCAATGCCATATGAAAGAACGAGGTCAAGAGTGTGATTAAAACAATGAGTTGGTTGAACTAGTTCCCTATTACATCCTTAAAGAGATTTTTCTAATTCTCTTTTCAACCTCACTCTTATTTTTATTTTATTTATTATTTTTATGATCATATTTACTCCCGTTTGCTGAAATTTGGGGATTCGAGGATATTGGTTGAATGTTTCAGACCCCATTGAAAATAAGATGGTATATCCCAAGTGCCTTATCCTGATATATAATACATTTCAAGTTTCTACATCACACTGTACAAGTTGCATACTGGACCAGGACTGACTTCCACACTCAGATTCTGCTCAGAAAATCAGATGTTCAATGAGCACAGAGAAACTTTCCACTTTTGCAGCAGATGAATGTGAAAACATCCTTCTAGTGTCAAACTGCACAGACATCATTCAAACATCACACTGTAGGAACAAGCAGAAACACTTATTTCAGACTAGAAGGGACTTTAAAATATGATACAGTGTAGAAAAAATGATTATGACTAAAGAGATTCATGGGATTCTCAGTCATCCTCATGCACTTAGCAGAAAGAATGATCTTAAGTAAGTATATATTATTATATAGTATATTTTACAAATTATCTTAAAGAATGAAAAATGAATGCACCAGATTAGATTCAGCCAATAGATGGGGGTAGAGCACATGGTACAGAGGTTTTCTCAGAGGCCAGTGGTGATGACAGAGCACCTCCCCAGTATAGGAAATACATGCCCTTATTTACTCAGAGCAAAACTCCTGCAGAAACACATCACAATGTCTTCATTTATGTATGCATTTGGTGCCCTCTTCTTCTGGTTTCCAAGTAGGATTATACATTTGAACAGATAATCCAACATTTTTATATATTTATATAAACAATTTCTTCCAATCTGTTCTACATCCATGATTTTATCCACACTGTCCACAGGTCAGGTCGACTGAGTCCTCCTCAGATAGTGGAGGAGAGCACCAAGGTCCACATCAACTGCAGCCAAGATGACAGCAGCCGTCCATTAATGCTCTGGTACCAGCAAAGAACGGACAGCCATTCTATGGTCCTCATTGAGTTTGGATATGGAACGGGCACACAGAACTATGAGGAGTGGTTTGAAGAACAGTTTGAGCTGAGAAGAGAAAGCGTGGTAAAGGGAGCTCTGATCATTGGCAGAGCGAGCCCATCACACTCCGCTGTGTATTTCTGCGCTGCCACTGCACAGTGATGTGGGTCAGTGTCACTCCCTCACAAAAAAACCCCTCAGCAACTGAGCATGTGCAGGTTAAACAAGGGGGGCAGAGTCTCAAGATATCTTCCTCCAGCTGAACAATGCTACATCTGCATCACCGCTGAGATGTCTCCAGCTGTGATCAGACTTTTTCTTCTGCTCTGGCTTCCATGTAATGTTTCTTTAAGATTAAATAAGACCTAAAATTAATGACAGGAAAGAAAAATACTACCTTTATTATGTTATGCAGCAGTATTATAAATGTTTTTTTACTAAGTAATTCATGTACGAACCCTATTTTGAATCTCCTTTTCCACAGGTGAAGCCAAGAGTGTGACGCTTCAGCACTCTCAGCCCAAGGTAGTCAGTGTTGGAGGCAGGGCAGAAATAAAATGCAGTAACGATGATGACAGACTCCATGTGATGCTCTGGTACCAGCGGAGGCAGAACGGGCCGATGGGCTTGATGGGATACAGTTACGATGTCAATCGGGCCGACTACGAGGAGCAGTTTAACGATCACATTGAGATTGTGAGAGAAAGCAAACTGAGTGGAGCTCTGATCATCCACAGTGTCAATCTGTCAGACTCAGCTGTGTATTTCTGTGCTACCAGTGCCATGATATGGTTTCACCTCACTGACTTACTATTCACTGTTCCATGTTCCTGCTGTTTTCAAGCTTGAAATACAAACTTGAATCTGCCATCATGTTGTGAGAATGTGATCCCAATCCCATTCATCAACACCACCATCTTTGTCCCAAATGTGTTTATTTGAATTAAAGGACCAGTGTGTAGGATTTAGTGGAATCTAGCAGTAGCAGATGGCAACTAACTGAACACTGCTCGTATCTGTATTTAATGACCTGGGAATCAAAACGGGCTGTGAAGTGCATAAGAGAAACTACAGTGGCCGCAAAAAAGACCCTATCCTATCTTTTAAAGTGAAAGAAAATATTCACACATTTTAAAGAAGAAAGGCAATAGTGGCAGCACAAAAATAAAGTCCTGGTCCAGTATGCAACTATGCAACTTGTACAGTGTAATGTAGAAACTTGAAGGCACCAGTGCACAACCACTGAGAATGGACTTTATAGTGAAGTAAGAGACATCCTGTGTCCAGCAGGAAAACTTTATGAAGAAATGAACAACATTTGCATATTCAGAGATTCTGGAAACAACATATCAGACACACACCATTGTTCCAAGCTGATTATTTGTATTTTTGTCTTTGTATGTTTGGAGGGGATCTTTAAACAACACAATCACAGTGCTCTTGGGCAACAAACATAAGAAGCAGGAGTGCCAGGTGGCCACAAGGACACTGTAGCTGTTGTGTGTGTGATTGTGGGTGGAGTGTGCAGATAAAATGTTAAAGATGGAAGAAATCCGGTCTCATTTCACATACACAACTCAATATGAAGGTCCTCTTACTGGACCTTCTGCTCTTTGCTGGTAAGATATTCAATTGGAATACATTTTTCTTTTTATATTTACATAAAATGAAGTCATTTACTTTGTGTCTCCTCTGTTTTCCAGGTTTCTCCTGCTGTTTAAAAATACATCAGCCCCCAGCTGCATTCAGCCACGAAGGAGACACATCTGTAACGCTGCAGTGTGAACAAGACAATGAAGAATATCTGTACATGTACTGGTACAGACACACTGGCAGAGGGGGAATGCAGCTGTTAACATACTCCATCAATAAAGAAATATGGACCACTGAAGCTCCTTTCAACACATCCAAGTACACCATGGCCCGGCCTGTGGTGCTCAGCTCCGCTCTGCACATACAGCACGTTGAGGCTGCGGATTCAGCTGTGTACTACTGTGCCTCTAGGTTCCCACAGCGGCTCACATGCACTCTGTGGCTAAACAACAACCCCAATAGCAAACATCAGCGCTGTGTCACTAATAATACATGCAAGAAATGCTCCTTCTGCCTCTCTCTATTTACCTTAAACCTTACTGATAGGTTTTTGAGCTTGGTAGACAATGTTCTTTGTTGCTCTAACGGTACACTGACAATTTGATACAATTCATGATACTGCGTTCATATGAAATATAAATGTATGGGACAAAACAATCAGTTGTCATAGCCCGACATTGGGCTTTTATCAGGCTGAACCTGGGACAACACTGCACTCTGCAACTGCTAGCCATAGTTCAAGTTGTAAATAAATTGACTTTCTGATTCTTTCCCACTAGCTGATATCTGAAATTGAAAAACTGAAACAAAATGATACCATTCAGAGACAATATATTAATATTGAACAATCCTGTGCAATTCAATGCAATACGATTAAGTCTGATCCAGTTCTTAACATTGTTTAACGTAAACATTTATTTTCCATTTTAAATTAAAATGAGCCAGTTCTCTAAAAGTGACATTGTTTACCTTCAAATACATGTTTTTTTTAAAATACCGGGGAATCTCAAGTATTTTCTTTATTCATTTTTCTATGGATTCCACCATGTCGAACTGCCATGTTTCTACAGTAGACGGATCCAGAACGGATACACCAAACACTGGCTGTAGATAGTGTTTCACATTTTCATTGAGTATCACAGTCACTGTAGTTTCTCCTACACACTTGGAAAGCTAGCAGTATTTAGCTGGGTGCAATCAGCAACTTCATGGCTACATGCTACTAAATCCTACAGACTGGTCCTTTAATTTATTTTATTGATTTCAATATTAATATTTGTAGAGGTTGGACAGACATACACCTAACAAACCAAATCTAGGCTACATGTATTTCCTATACGTAACCTAGCTCAAAATAGATTTTATTTTCTTAAACAAATAGTAATTAGTATACTAATTCAAATAGACAAGAAACCTAAAAGGACACATATGTTGATACTTTACTAAAAACATGCTCTCTGTGTTGAAAAACCTGGTTTTGTATATTTTTTATGATATATTTTGATATTTTAGACATAGTTGGGAGCTGAAATAAAGTTCTTTAATGCATTATTTTGTGGTATTTTTTTATTTTATTTAAATCACTTAATGGTGTATTTAGTTATAATTTGACATTACAAAAGAGTAAATTAATGAACATGTCTGAGATTTATTTTTTTACAAATGATTCTGTCACACTATACAGTGTTACCATTTTACTCTATATGAGCTTGTTTTCACTGCAAGAGAGTGAATTAGTGTGTAACATGAACATTTACCTTAGTTTACCTTACTTTAGTTATTTTACCCTCCAGTGTTAACTTTTGATAACTCCATACAGTGTTAATCAGTATTGGAATCTAACTCAACAGAGTAATTTATCAACACTCTCCAGAGGTTTTTAACCTTTAATGTAAAATTTAAATAACACTATTCAGTGTAAGCAAGTGTTAAATTCTTACTCTATTTGGAGTTGATTTAACTCTATTTAAAACCAAATCCAAATGGGACCAAATACACTTGGGGATAATATTAAATTTAACTCTAAAATTGAGTTGACCTGACCCTTTCCATGACTTGTTTTCCATTAACACAGCCTTCCAGAATACTTTGTTAGAGTTTTTTTTAGCATCCAGTTTTGCTGTGGAGCTTTCAAACAGATTAATCACAAACTGAAAGCAGCTCCTTGGATAATGTCTGTAAAGTGGTTTCCATCTGCTAGATCCAAATCATCGATTATTGTTAAAGCTTTCATTTTGATGCATAATTTAGCTCCACTTCTAAAAGAAAGTGTTAACCGTTAAACAGCCTTTAATTCAAGTAACAAAACTCCTTCTCTCTCAGTTCACTGATATTTCTGCAGAACCACAGAGCTGATCAGTTAGATAAATACACAGGTGCTATAACAGAGTAAGGAATGATTCTCTGTCCTGTACAGTCTACTGCTCTCCAGGCACATCTCTTTATTTTGCTCTCCTTTTTGTTCTATTCCTTAATTCTTTTTGCTACCTGTGTAGAAGGTACTTTTGGAAAGAACAAGTTTAAGAATTGATCATACACTGACCTCCACAGGGTACATTTGGCATTACATATTTAACAAATCATAATGCTGAAAATCAAACTGTTATAGCTATAGTTATAGTTTAAATATGGGTAGATTGGTGTTACTGTGTAGAGATGGCAGGTCTGACAGTCTACTGAATGGAATAGTTCCATACAAAAATGAACTGAGGTTGTCGGGGGGGAAATAGGAATCTGATCATGAAAGGTTGTAGCAACAATTCTTTCCCATAAGTCAAAATGTAATAGTAAAAACAGCCTTTACTGCACGAGTCAAACTGTAGAAATAATGTTAAAATGAATCAATAAGTTGACTTTATATCATTACAAAACTGTAAGCCTCACTGTGCTATAACGTTGTTTTGTTTTTCTTTCAGTTTATAAATCATCATATGCCGAAGTATGCATTCAAATGATTCTTAATGATCCCCCAAAATGTCAAGATTTGATGTTAGTCACATAAAAAACAAAGTAGCCAGTAACAATTAGATTAGATGATCCACAGAAAATTATTTGGCTAACACTTTGATATTCTAATATTGTTTGGCCTAATTGTTTTTATTATACATAAACTTAATACATTAGAAGATGCATTTAGGTTAGTCTGATAAATTCTGTTAAAACAATTTAAATCATTTTGGAGAATTGCTGCATACGAGTGTAATATATTTACTAGTTTTAAGTTCAATTAACTGAATGGATACACTAAACTTAAATTACCAAAGTTATCTTAACAAATACTTGAATTATTTGTACTCAAATATTTCTAATGCTTAAATGGTTTGAGTTAATAAACTCAAATGGTTTAAGGCAATCTGTTTGAGTAGAACTAACTCATCGGGTTGATATGTTCTCTGACATTATGATATTATTAGTTAATGTTACTGCATGATTCATCAACAATTTTATATTATTAAAATGATACATTATGATGTTTTTTTTATTTGATAACAGAATAATGTATTATATGAATTATATAAACCTGCATAAGAGCATTGCTGGAGAAAAGAAACTGATTAAAAGTCTAAAACGTGTCGCCACTTCCCCCCACTGTACAAAAACCCCAAAATCCTGGTTCATTACCCGTACTGCAGCCAGCCACCAGGAGGTGATCTAGATGCTTTGGCTTTACTTTTGGGGAGCTGTCATCCATCTTTATATACAGTCAGTGGTTGATACTTGACAGGAAGACTTATTCAGTGAAATATTTTGATGTTTAAAAGATGAATGGCATTTTGTACAAACATTCCTGGTTCCCAGACTGTGTATCATGTCATCGGATCAAACGTTTTATCTGGCCAGTATTTTGGTAACTGCAAAACGAATGACTTCCCCATCGGCCTTAGCTGTACCATGCTAATTAATAAAAGTTAGCAGGCTTATCATTGTCATTGCTTCACAGTTTGGTGTCAAATGCTGTCAAATGTAACACGTTTGTTTTATTCATTTAAAAAAAATTACAAAACAGGAATTTATTTAATGATCTGTTATGGCCATATTTTAGACTGAGTGATATGTTTGAGTTCAATAAAAAAATAATGTATTTGGAATGTCTAAAGATGCTTCATAATACATAATAACGTAATGTTTCATATATCTTTATTTGGGGTCTTTTCCAAGCAAACGATAATATATGGAATTATTAGTGATTAGCATATATTTCTGCCAATCCTCTGACCACCCATGTATATTTCTCTATATCGGCCTCTAGCTATAGATTCTTGTGTAGTCTGTGTGTGAATGAATAATAAGGTAAACCATGGTGCAGAGGGGATTTTGGCCTGGTGGTGGCACTAAAGGAAAGGTAAGGACTTGGGAAAATCAATAGTGATCATCTTTTGGGGAAAAAGATGACCACTCTAAATTTCATGGTGATCTGCCACAACAGATATTCTGGACAGAAAATGTGAACGATTTTGCAAGTAAACAGTTTGAGGATTATACACAAGTCTTGTGTCATCTTTTAGAGAAGGTTATATCAGTTATACGTGGGCGGGATGAAGAGGTGTGACCAGTGAAGATGTCACTTCCTCTGTGCAGCTACTGTACACAGAAACACAAGGTTTTCTTTTCCTCATTTGCTTCTTTTCTTAGCTGGCACAGAAATAGCAGCAGTCGGGCTGCATGGAGCTCACCTCAGCCGTCAGTCAGAGCGAGCCCCACAGCTGCTCTCACAGACAGACGCAGAGAGATGGAGGCTGAGATATGGAAAAGCCGGGTGGGGGAAGGCGAGGCAAGACGAGCAAAGAAGAGGCAGCAGGTTTTTGTGTAATGCTTTTTCACTGTGGGGACAGGGGGGCACGGTGATACAACCCAATAGAGCCGCCGTACAAAAACCTCCTCCATTGAACAAACTGAGTGAGAAGCTACAAGTTGCCCATGACACTTGGCACACATAGAAACATCCATATTCTCATTCATGCAGGATGCCTCACTTATCTGAGAATGTAACAAACTGAAATTTTAGTGGAGGAATAAAATAAAGTAAAACAACAATCCAGAGTATCTGGGTCTTGTGCACTCTTCTAAAAGAAAACCAGCAAACCTGAGTGTTGTGCATCCTGTTTACTATTCTAAAACTACAGTAATGTCGTGGACTGGTAGCCTGTTTCCAGGTACCCGTTATGGGCAGTTTTGTATCTTTTCGGTAGAGGATGAAGTCAGTGTGACACTGGAGCTGAAGCCTACTTTGGAAAAGGAACTAAACTCACTGTTCTGGGTAAGTCGGAGCTCTCACAACTTCAATTCATCAACAAAAAATGTTTCTCTTATTTGCTAATGAAGGAAAAACTATCAAACTGATTCTGGAAGATTTTGACTTGCACTGATCATAAACCAATGTCGCCATTTTAGGTTTTTTTTTTAGTTTAATGTTGTATTTTAGTGGTATGGAAATGTCTTTAGATTCTCAGAAGAGCCTGGTTCTAGTTCTTCTGAAATAGCCTGGTTCTTTAGAGTCCACCAGAGCTGGAGCTTCATAAACCTTCCATACTTGGGCCTTTGTAGTTCCAGTCCAGCTCAGTGCTTTTTGATATCAAGCGATCATGCTGTGCTAATAATGAAGCGTATTTCGGTCTGGGCACAAAACTGACTGTTCTTGGTGAGTAAGACATCAGGTTTTTTTCTTTATTCTTCACCTGTGATAAATGTGCTGTATGTGATCCTCACATGTCTTTCAGCTGCATTGAGAGAAACAAAGTTGTCCTCTAACTTAAACAGGCCGTAGCACAGCTATGTTGCTTTCAGGAATTAAATGAAAGCAATCGAGAAACAAAAAGCAAAGTTTACAAGTATACAACCCATACTCCTTCTTAATTAAAGTATTAAAGAAAAAAAGCATAAACTGCATATGAGGCTAATTTGAGCACTGCTAAAGTATGGTGGTGCATATGAGGCTCACTTCGCGGAGGAACCAGATTAACTGTTTTAGGTAAGAAATCAGCATTAAGTTAATTAAAATATAAGAATGGTTTTGTTCAGATTTGATCCGTTGTAAAGAGCTTCCAAAGCCTGACAGAAACTTTGAATGTGACAATTCATGCACTAACTGCCTTCAAAATGACTTCAGTTATCATAAAAATACCTTAATATCATATGTCGACGTATAGAAGGTGATCTGTAGAGAGTGACTATATTTTGTGCAAACTGCAGTATGTCACAGTGTAAGCTTCCTCGTGTCTGAGTGTGACAAAGTTGGACAAATAGCAAAAAGGAGCACAGAGAAAGAAGCAGTTTTGTCACGGTATGAGAGCTACGTGTTAACTCAGAGAGGCTTATTTTGGAGCTGGAACTAAACTGACCGTCTTAGGTAAGAAAATGTGCCACGACAAATCAAACTGAGCATGTTTCACAGCTGGTTTATATGGGAGAATGTGCAGTATGTGGACTCTTCCAGGCTTTTAGGTGATTTTATGGGGTGGCAGTAAATGTATTCTAAGTATTGTTTCTTTAGAAGACGTTATAACCCATGTTAGTTTTGTTTCAGTCCTAACCTGTTCTCCAGCAAACTGCTCCGGCAATAACAAAATTGGCTCTATGCCTGGATTATTGCTTTCAGAGTGAGTTCTTATCAGCTCTGTGAATGATTGTGAGTACAGTCGGAGGCTTACTTTGGGACTGGAACGAAACTTACAGTCTTAGGTAAGGTAAAAATACATATAATATTAAATTAGACAGAATTTAAAAGTCAGATGTATTATGTAATATCCCAAAATGTCTAATTCCAAGGTACAATTTGAGGTTGTTACACCCTGTTTTCTACAATTGAGCAGATTTTTCTAAAACTGTGAGGAAATGTTGGTTACGCAGCGTGAATCTGGAGAAGTTTCCATACACTTGTTTGATGTTTTCTGTGATGAAGAGCAAAAAGACAGTTTACAGCTGCTAGTGTTGAAAGCTTAAACGGTTTTTACTACAGTCGTGTGTCAGTGTGACAACTACAACCCTGCTTACTTTGGTGGTGGAACCAAACTGACAGTCTTAGGTAAGAAAATAACTTTACAAGCAATAGATAACCTCTTACATTGTCTCAGAGGTTTTTTGTAATATGTGGGGTTGTGAAACTTTGAATGTATTTGTAATTACTTGAATTTGTAACTATTTAAAATGCTGTGAATCTAGCATCAGAGGCTGTCCTTTAAAATATAGTTGCTTTCTGTGCTCAATCAAATTAGGCCAACCTAAAATTAAACTAACATACATACAGTTATATAACAAGTGTTTTGTTCAGTGTTTGTTCAGAGTTTTTTGCCTAAGACGATAATAGATCTAAAGAAATGGAATTATAACGGCTCTGTGTGTGAGTACCATAAGGACCGTGTTGCATGTTTTGTCTCACTGTTCAGGTCTAAATTCTGGCATTACAAAGTCACAATATCTCCAGGAATTTGAAAGGCAGCTTTAAAGAAATACGCTTTGATACCACCCTTACCTCTGTACAGTAAATATGTTGCTGGTCTTAAGACTGATAAAAAAAAAAAAAATCCACCTACCAGCACCTCTTAAGCTCCGAATTGACATGTTATATTGGTAATTGTTGCAACTAAAGTGTTGCCTCTGCTGATTGTATTTGTAACTGGTTCCTGCCAAGAAATACACGGCAGAATCAGCCCTTCTAGAAACAAGACAAATATTCTTAAATATAATCACACTTCTTGTAATGAGCCTTAAAACTAGAAGGAAAAAAAAGCCAAAAATGTGAGCAAGTTATGGACTGAGCTGAATTTAAAAAGCAAAATAGTGACTTTGTCTTCAATGAAGCAGCAGAAGCATTCTTATTTTTAGCATTTTTTATTGAAACAATGAAAAACTAAACAGCTGCTTTATTTCCAACACTGGGACAAGACTACTTTCTGTTAAACTGAGTAAAATAATCGTGTTCCTCTGCTGGGATATTATGCAAACCATTGTTGTAGCTTGTTATTGGTTAAATCTAGTTCAATATGAGCTGTAATATCTTATTAAGACGCAGTTAGATATATTTCCTTAAAACCAGATTACTTTTCTAATGCAAAAACATGCTTGACAAGATTATATTTTTCTTTTTAGACAAAAAATAAGATGCATTTCCCAAAAACAAGGCCTTTTTAAATTTCTTGAGATTCCTTTTTAGCAGTGTAGTTTGTCACATAAAAAAAAAAAAAAACAGCAAACAGCAATTTTTCGTTATGGATGTTTTTACCCTAGGTATTAAACTAATAGTATATAAAGTGTTAATTGGTGAGCTTTAGTGCTGGGGGGCAGATTCTTTTACCTTTGGAAAGATTGAGGCTAGATGTTATCATAAAGGCATGGGAGTGGTATCAAACTTCTCATCTAACTTTCAGAACATTTCTCAAAATGTCAGACTCATCAAATGATTTGTTTCCTTTGTCCCTACAGAATCCAACCGTACCATCAGCCCACCAACGGTGACAGTTCTTCCTCCTTCAAAAAAAGAAAAAAACAAGAAGACCTTGGTGTGCGTGGCCTCTCGTTTCTACCCGGACCATGTTAGCGTGTCCTGGCAGATTGACGGGGACAACATTACAGATGGCGTGGCGACCGACAGCGCTGCCCGATTGGAAGGGGAACATTACAGCATCACCAGCAGACTGAGGGTCCCGCTCAAAACGTGGTTGACACAGGGCAAGAAGTTCAACTGCACCGTCAGCTTCTTCAATGGGAACGAGACCGTGTACCGTTCTGACTGGGTCGCTGGTGTTAAAGGTTGTTTGGCAGAAAAATATCTGAAGATCACCAACGCCGCCAAACTGACCTACGCCGTTTTGATCGCCAAGAGCAGCTTCTACGGAGCCTTTGTGGTGTTTCTGGTGTGGAGGCTTCAGGTTCGTCCAACATGATCACATACATAAAAACATGATTCTTGGAACTCATAAACACGAAGCAAAATTTTTTGTCAAATGTAACTGAAATATAAGAAATCAAAAGTTAATTTCTTAAAAAAATTCAATACAATATAAATATTATGAAATAAACTGATAAACTGAATGCAAACAAATTGAATAAACTTTACTAGATCCAGTAAAGAGGTTTATCTATGCGCATCACACTCCAACACTGCAGGTGGCTGACCCTTTACATTGCGCTTATGTAATAAAATTACATGGAAAATATAATTGAAAGACTTAAGTCAACATTTTAGGGCCAAATATTTTTTGGGTGTACAATGTCTATACTACATAAGTCACTGCTGTGTCTCTGTTCCAAAGAAATCCCAGTGGAAATCATATACTTGCCATAAGAAATGGTCATGGCCAGATAGTAAGTTAAAGCCCTTGTCATACGTGGAATATGTAACATTGCCAGCTTCAACTTTGTGTTAAAGTGGTGTCACACATAGAAGTGTGTGTTATGTAAATGTAAGTTGAGGCTTTATGACATAACAGGAGGGTACATTTAGGTACATTTAGCTCATAGGATTTGGCTGATCTTAAGTCACTTTAAAGCTGCAGTAGGAAAGATTTCTAGAAATAGCTTTTTGTCATATGTCTGAAACTTTCACTACATCCTGAAAGTAGTACATGAGACAGACAATCTGTGAAAAATTCAGGTTCATCTGGCTTGTTCTAGAGCTCCTAATGACATTTGTAAGAATCCACGGCCTGAATGAAAACAGCCAATCAGCCAGAGGAGCCTGATTATGAACATGTTCACTTAATTAACATTCAATCGAAACCACAATCTTTCCCCAACCTTAAACCTTAAAGGGGGTTTTCTCCCCCTAAACATGTGAACCCTGGTCTCTGGTATTAAAGTCCTGACTTTTGTACGGCTACCATAAATTGACTTCATGAATACAGAGGTGGGAAGTAACAAAGTACAAATAGTTTGTTACTCTACTTAAGTAGGTTTTCAGATAGCTGTACTTTACTTGAGTAATTATTTTCCCAGTATTATTATTTCTTGCATCATTACATGCCTTCCCAACATCAAGACTGCTGCATATCACACATGACAGTTAGAACCAGAAGAAACAGACTAGAGAGTTTGGAGTTCCAGTTAGCTTTGCTCAGAAACAGCCTGTAGAAACCAAGAGAGTACTTTTTCCTCTCCAGATCCTTTCCAGATCCATATAGACTAATCTGTAATGAGAAGAATCTCCTCGGCAATTTAAAATGAGCTCACTCACAGTGTTTTGTGGTGTATTAAACATTTCTTTGTGCAGAAGAGATGATGAAGAAGCTCCGAGTTTATTTCAGAGCTCTTAAGAGCGAGACCTCTGTTTAATCTTTCTCTGTCTGTATTCACTGATGGCATACACTATGTTAGCTTATGTAAAGGTGACTCAGACTGAAAGGAGCTCAAGTGAAGTATAGATCAAGGTGGGGTTTTTTGTAGTTTTTTTGTTTTTTTAACAAATCACTGAAAATGTGTCTTTTTTCTGTGTGCTCCACAGGCATCATGCGGAAAACAGAACAACTGAGAGCTGAGCTGCACACACCAGCTGATTCTCCTGCTTTCTATAAACATGCTGCTTTCAATGCTCAGTTCTGCAAATCATATTATGCACAAATTAGGGGCAACTTCCTGTAGTGTTAATAGCACTATTATTGACTTAAAACCATGTGAATTATTCAATATCCAGTGTGGATTGATACTGTTTGTGCTTCATGCTGAGTTTTATTCTCAATAAAGGCTTTCCAGTCAAGACACACTGTATGGCGTCATTATTTCTTTAGAAAGTGTGTATGAAAAGGTCAGACTTACTGTAAGACAACACATCACATACTAATCTTCCCACCTGTCAGATGGAGTCACATAGTTACTTGTTGAAGGCAGTTAACATGCAACTCATGTCACACATATCTCTGCCTACATGACATGAAAGACTCAGTGGGGGTATTTTTAGCTGCTCACTTATCTGTTGGTTTTCTGAGAATTCAGACATGTTTTCCATTCACAGCAACTGAGTCAGGCTCTAAAAAAAATCAGGGTGGTTGGCAATAATGACATTTTCCAATTAGGAAAACTTAAAGCTGATCAAATAAGCCTCTACAGTGGCATTTAAAGGTATTAATCATTGCAAATCTACCAAGCAGACATTAGGAATAACAGCCAATCGTCTCACTGATGGTCTTGTTTGTTTATGTATGTAATGTTGAGGCTTCAGTGTTAAACTGAGACTGTTTCATAACCAGTTCAAAACTCCTTGTAGAAGTGAGTTTACTTTTTCCACTGTGCACATAACATACGGCTGCTATGGATCCACACTTGTCTGTAAATGAAGCTATGTTCCTTTAGGTTGCAGTAAAGAAGTAAACGTTCACATCCCACAACAACAGGAAGTCAGTGTTCTCATCTCTGCACAGAAGAAGGTCGAGGCTGTTGTTGATGGGTGTGAAGGCCCGGGAAGGCGGTGAGAGTGACAGCAGAGGAGAGGATGTGGTCGTAGAGCAACCCGTCGGTGCAGTTCTCAACTTCACCGCAACATTTGCAGGCAACACCTGCGTCTGTGCAACAAGCCGCCGCACTGCAAGAGTCTGCAACCAACATGCTTCTGTGTCAACTGATGCTCCAGTGCGAGCCAACAGCTGCTCACATAAAGAATATACAGCAGTTAAAATAAGCTTTGTTGTGTCTGTCTACACTATAATGCAGGAAGAAGGCAACTATCAATAGTTCTTCATAATAGAGTCTCACAAGAGTCTCCGTTATGTAAGCCTATTTGCCAAAGGAAAATATAGTTTTAACTATTTTTAACAATCTTTTTGTCGAGGCAAGTTTGTTAGTTTGTGACTTACCAGTGACAGTTTTTAATTATATTACGTAATTAAAAACATGTTACAATACATGTTCAAAAATATCTATATTTTCTTTCTCTATTCAAGAGAAATAAAACACTTTCCTAAAACTTTTATGTCACACTTCTCTTTATATGGACGAGGTGTAAAGCTTTAAGATGATAAAAAAAAACAAATAGTCAAATCGAAACAACAAAATAATTATATAATCTGAAGTTCAGTCTTTGTAGATCCAGTTCAGACTGTGTGGTGGGCGATCATCTTTTTGTCCTTTAAACATTGACTCGTTTTTCAGAAAGTCTTTCCGATACACTGGCACCATCCCCTGTGGTCACAGTGAGGTTTATGAACGTGTACCAACAATATAACCCTGGATTTACCTGATCACTGACTGTATTTTGATTAAAAACATTTACAAAAAAATCATAAAATGATGAATGATGAAATTAGACAAGAGTAACATAAGATCTGCATTCCATGGCAATATTGGTGTATTGTTTTTTTCTTTTTTTATTGTTAGAAATACTATATTTACCATTAATGACAAGTCAAAAAAATATAAAATTTAAATTCTAGAGAATCAGGTCCAACACGTTTTCTAACAACATATCACAGCTTATAATGTGTTCTACCAAACAAAGAAAACAGCATTTTAGGGTTAAAGTCAAAATGATCAATATCCTGAGATACTAAATCAACAGATTGAGATACTCAAAAGAATGAGCAATATGTGGACTAAAATGTGGACTAAGTTATGTCATTATAAAAGTTATAAAAGTTGTAAGAGCATCTGTACAAACTTTCTGTTGTCAATTTCTAGCACTCCTGCTAACCCTGACCAATCCATGAGTGCTGTCAATGAGCCCCACAGAGGCACAGCACTGATACTGTGTGTAGGTTCAAATACTCAAAGTCCTACATTTGGTGATGTGATGCTGTGTTCAGGTTGGAAGTGACAAGTGATGTCGAAAAGGTGTTTGTACTGCTCATGGGAACAAGAAACTAATTATTTACTTTTAACCAAGTAATTTTACCCTTAGAGCATGCATGCAGCACATGACCCCCATGTCCCAGCTCAGGGTATATGGACATTATCAGTTAGGTGTCTCCATCTGCTGGACAGTCAGTGCTGTTACAGCCCTGGCTTTGGTCTGTGCCTGTGCTGAGCTCATTACACACGAATAATATCAATGAAATACAAAGAGTTTAAAAAGGTGAAGAACAAGATCTGAATAACACAGTAACAGAACCAAAAACAGCATTAAACCCAAATATTAAAGCTGAATTCATCAATATAATAATGTTTGTAATATTGTTATTGAATCAATTATGTTATATAATGTAAAAGGGGTTGTGACCATCGGCTTATATAAAGATGGACGACATGACAGCTCTCCAAAAGTGAAGCCAAAACATCTCTATCTCTCCCTGGTGGCTGACTGCAGTATAGGTCATAAAGCCTGCTGCCTCCATGTTAGCAGATGGGACAACTAAAAGTACTAAAAGTACACGTCAAATAAACGATAGACCAAAGATAGACCAACAGAATACACCAAAGATGGTTTCTGTCTTTTTAGTTTTCATCAAACTGACGTATGTTCTAGTGTTCATTTTTCTGATAGGTTCAGTTTTAATTATTAAAAGCTATAAAAAGGGGTTTCACGTCATGATTGACAGCTGAGTCCTGCTCACGATTGAGTTGGCCGGGCGTATGGGCGGGACTGCAATATCACGGTGCCAGACTGGCTCTGAATGACGTCACCTGAGCAAGGTAGCAGCGGCCGTATCCGGGATATTTTGGCTTCATTTTTGTACAGCGTGAGGAAGTGGAGACGCAAAATCCATCTTTTATGTCGATGGTTGTGATCAACACACTTTTCAGTCTTTTTTAGCTCATTGTCTTGTTGTCATGGTTTTACAGCCCCCTGTTTCCAGCTATATTAAAGCTGCAGTAGCCAAAACGTATGCAAATCCTTCCGCCTCGCTCTCTGCTATGACTCCATAAGACCCTCCCACAAACCGTCAAGTTTATGAGGAGTTGTGCTCTTTGCTCTTCATCGGCCTAGTTCTCCTCGGTGAGCTTTCACTCCTTTCTAATACCCTTACTTTTCTTCACAGAAGTGAACCAAATGCTGAGATACAGGCCTACTTTCCGTACACACCTTAAAATCAAGAAGGCATGAGGCTTTGGCGACCCCTAGTGTTGGCGACCCCCAGGTTGGGAGCGACTAATTGTGAGGTGATTATCAAAATGATCTAAAAACAACAGATAGCAGTTCTCTGTATTTACCATTAGCTTTTACTGTAGAATTGAAAGAAAGTAAACAGATGTTCAGATATATGTCACTACATTGTGAAAGAGGAGAATGTGATATGCGAGGGCCACCTTCCGTGAAGTCTGCCATGTTGAACTGCCATGTTTCTACAGTCGCTGTTCCATGATTAATCCCAGAGGAGACAGCAGAGCAGCAGAGTGATGGCCACATTAGACCAAGCGGCACTCTGGCCTGTAGAGCCGGACACCATCTCCCTTTTGTGGCTCAGGCTGGCCAGTGGACAGGAGCCATACTTCCCCCCAAGCATGGACACACCCTCACTTGCCAACAGGACGCCAGAGAAGGTGATGGTTTTGGAGTGAGTGCTGGCCCAGGCGCAACTCCCCACATTCTGCTTTACCCACACCTGGTCACCTTTCTTCAGTTCCTCCATGAGGTAGCAGGTGTTCAGGGTTGTGTCACCACCAGAAACCTGGGGACAGGAGTGGACGATGTCTGTAGTATCATCTTCCAGTTCCTATTGACTTTTGATTACCGTATTCATTTTGTCATGTATTTTCTAGTCTTTCTTGCTTCAATGACTATAGGTTTAGTTCAGTCTTGTGTACCTGAGCATGACAGGCCATGTCCTTGGAGCCCTTGAGCATGAAGATCCACAAGTTGTTGTGGTCTCCGCGGCAGAGCTGAGCAGCAAACACGAACTGGTAGATTCCAGCGACCGGTGCCGTGAACACACCTGTGTCATTGTTGTAGGCGGAGCCCTGGTTCACCAACACCTGATTGAAGATGATTGGGTTGAACTCGATTTCTCTCAGGATACCCTGGAAGGAAACGAAAAAAAGAACGACGCCCCCTGGGACATAGATTCATGTCTCAATCAAATAAAAAAATATGACGTTCATTTGACTGTTTCCACATGTGCCTAAATTCATACACACTATTATACAGTCACTCTCAAACACACACATTCATACACACACTACCTTGTTGTCTGGCTGCTGTCTGACGGGGGATCTGCGGAGAGCGTCATGAGAGAGTTGGTTATGTTGGGACAGTAGAAAAGCTTTGAGGATCAAGGTCAAAGGTAACTTCACTCACCCGGCCCACTGGATCTGCTACAACCAAACTGGTTACACACAACAACACTGTCACAATGACAAAATAGGAACATATCTGTAACAAAAAGAAACCAAAAAGCATCCCAATGAAAGATCAGGTACGACAGACAGACAGACAGACAGACAGACAGACAGACAGACAGGCAGACAGACAGACAGACAGGTACCTTGATGGAGCTCATCTTCCTGCTGAGAGCTGTACAGCACTGACACACTCTGCTTCTGTCTCTGTGCCCAAGTCCACCTGCTGCTGCTTTGTTACAAAATCCAAAATCTGTTTGACTAACTCATGCCCACCACACACACACACACACACACACACACACACACACACACACACACACACACACACACACATATATACCCCTAATATTTCTAAGAAAAACCAGACTTCGGTTGAGGTCTTTGTGTGGCGTGTGTTTCCAAAGAGGATGGCATGCTGTAGGAGCTCTCTCCATATTTTTTTACCATACAGTCTCCTCAAGAAGACAGACAGAATCATTCATTTCAACAAGGACCCAACATAAGTCTATGTTCAAGTGACAAGTCCACTAGTGGCCAAAGCAAATATGAAAGGAGAAAGTCACATGACTTTTATAGAGACATTGTCTGCGTGGAAGGAGGTTTAAAAAAGTATACCAGGGAAACCATCGTGGGGTCTGAGTTCAAATTACACACACACAAGAAAGCGATGCATTTACGTACTGGATGTGACTTATATGTAATCATTGATACCAAAGGTAAAATATAAAAACAATGATTGCAGTAAATGAGGCACAAACAAGCTGCTCCTGCACCTTCAAAAACAGCATGTTTAACCAGTACTGAATGGAGTTGTTGAGTTCATTGACACTGCTATAGGGTCAGTTTCAGCAAAAGGCTGGAGGAACTTGGAATTTAGCCTCTGATGAAAACAGCAACAGTCTGTCACTGACCTGACTGTGATGAGCCTTGCACTGTTCCATCATGGTGTTCTGTGTTGTTACAGACGTTCAGATCAGGGAGGCCATTTCTTCTTCCCAGCAGCCAAAAAACAAATCACAGCAACGTGGGACATTTTGCAAATGAGGGGTACTTTGAAGTGCTGCAGGGGGTACTTGAGATTATTAAAAATATAAAACAACCACTGTGTCTGAAATGTCCTTGCTGTCAGTCAGTCACTGTGAAGTAAATCTCCCTGTAATCCTTGTTATTCCAGTCTGTTCTGTTCAGCTTTAAAAGCGGTTACCTAAAACAGAGACAGAGTTTGTTTCCACTGTGACAAGAACCGTCCTCCCCTTCAGGTTTCAGTGTCTCAATAACGTCATGCTGTGTTGGAGAAAAAACAGATGTGACGATAGGTGAATACCTGAGTTTACTAGGGTTGGATGAGTGGTGCGACTTTGCGCCTTGTGCCGAAAAGTTTATGTGTGGCTAAAAGTGCTAGAAAAACCGCGACATGCGCTGCAAGGGAGGGACTGATCCAGTCGCTTAATTTGTTGCTCCTTTATAAAGGAAGTCACAAAGAGAGTCTGAAAAGTTGCTGAATCTAGCGAGAAAGTTGCCAAGTTGGAGACGCTGGTGCAGGCTACTGTAGAGCTAGCTGTTGGAGGGTAAATCCCGTTTTTTTTTCCACACGGAGAGGTGAACAAATAAATGATGATACAAGAAACAGTTGTCTTTAGTCTGTTTAATAAAGCAGGATAATAAAACAGTAACATATACGGGAACAATATGCCCTTTCACACATTCTAGGAGAGTAAAGTACAAAAATGTCGCACGGTGACATTTACTAAAAAGGTTACACACAGTTATATAAATGTCTAATGGTCTTTCAACTTCAACCATAGCACTAGTAATACATTTTGCTCTTACAAACCACAATGTCTTTTTTCTGTTAAAGGACCAGTGTGTAGGATTTGGTGAAGTTGCAGATTGCAACCAACTGAACAGCCATATTTGATGACCTGGGATTGAGAACGGGCTGTGAAGTGTGTAGGAGAAACTACGGTGGCTGTGAAACCCTATCTGGAGCCTGGGCCACTGTAGAAACATAGTGGTTCAACATGGCTCCATGGAAGGTGACCTGCAGCGTCTGTATATAAAAACAGCTTCTCATATTAGGGTGATTTTACACTAATGAAAACACACCTATGAATATCCCATTTCTGCTAATAGATCCTATTAAATGTTACACACTGGACCTTTAAATACAGAAGATGTAAGTAATTAGTGAAATAATGTCCTTACTTTTTAAATGAGTAATGTGTAATAAGTAATTGATCACAGTTTTCAAGTAACTTGCCCAACACTGGTCTTAATAATAGTTCTTTGAAGATTTTTGTTCAAAAAGAATATTAATTGACATAAAAAAAAAAAATAATAATGATGATGCGTAAGACAAGAGAATGGCAGTCTGCTGGTTGGCCTGTCTTGGCCTTTGTCTCTGCCTCTTTAATACCCCCAAACACACACACATTCAATAAAGGTATTCCAGTCCAGCATTAATCATCTTGACATCTGGCCTATGATCTCAATAGGATTGTCTCTTCCTCTTTCACTCCATCAGTCCAGCAGTAATCCTCTGTGGTGTACAGAGACATATGGTCTGCCTGTAAACCTACTCTACTGCTGACTGTCTGTCTGACCACAGGACTTAAAATGTATCTGGACATTTGACAAGTCACAAGCAGGGTCACTGTAATCCTAGTATTTTCCTTTTTTATTTGATGTTTTATGTCATCAAGTGTTATTGGCTGAATAAATGGTTTGGGCGTTGGATTTTTTTCATGTGTGTATTTCTTTTCCAGCTTTTTGTTATTTCAACCGTCTCTTGTTATTAAAGATTCCCGAAATAGTACAAGAGTCAGAGATTTTTTCCCATCACAAGCAGTGCCTGAAATGAGCCGGTGCTCACCACTACTGAGATTTTTGTCCATGTGAGTACCCTTACTTCTTATTGAGTACTGCTGAGGTCACCAGTATTTTTTCCAAGGGGTAGACAAAAAAAGTTGTGGAATAACTGTCTATAACTAAGTACTTTAATGCTTTGATACATGACCCAAACCCACCCAAACAAGTTCAGTTTATGGACCTCAGTGTTTCTAAAACCCTGCATACAGCAATGCTGATCAGGTACTCCTAAACAGCTGTGTAACTGCATCTCTGTTTAAACCTGTGGCTAGTTTAATGCTAAGCAAACAGCACAGAAAATGTCTTTGCTAAAAAGGACAAATAAACGGCAAAAGAATTAGGGTTATGTTTTGTTTAGGGTTGTGCTGAATTTCGGTACTGGCACCTTTCTAGGTCCAGTTCAGGCACTGATCACAAGTAGCTAAAGTAGGAGCAAAATACCAATTTTAATAAACTGTCTCATCAAAATGCACCTCTTTTTCCCTCCTAATCAACATTTGCTTTAAGTCAAGGTATAAAGTGGCCAGAGACCATCATCACCATCACCTTACATTTCTTTAAATATTTTATTATTAATGGTTAAATGTATAATTACTGGGAAGGGCTCATGGTCAAATATTGAATAAAAAAATGCTAATAATTAGGTTCAGCCCTTTCTCCATGCCCTAAAAGTATAATATATTGAGGAATGTGTGCTGCAGAGATTTCAGATACAACACGCCACACACACACACACACACACACACACACACACACACACACACACACACACAGTAACACATTTTTTATCATTAAATGTGGTTTAAGCAGTTTATTACTGTTTAGGTGATAATTTAGTTATTTGTGCATGGATGAGAAACAGTGTATTAAAACAGGAAGGGGGACCACTAAGGCTACCTTCACACTGCAAGTCTCAGCACTCAGTTCAGATTTATTGCTCAGATCTGATTTTTTTGTTTGGCTGTGCACATTATATTGAAACGACCAGCATGACAAATGTCTGTCTAGAGTCCCTCAAAAGTCACGTGACTTCTCATATGACAGTTCACACTGTGGTCACATTGCAAAAACATCAGACCTGTATCTGATTTGGACCACACATGAAAGTGGCCCGTATCAGAACTGAAAAGATCAATGTGATTTGTGCTGTTCACACTGTCAGGAAAAAAACAGATGTGAGTCACATATGAACAAAACATCAGATGTGGGCCATTAGAGCCTGGACGTAGACAAGTCTGCACAAGGACAAAATTTCCATGTTTCATGTGGAGGGTGAATAACTTTCTTTCCCTTTTTCTCCCTTTTGTTGTTGAAATCAACAAAACTATGACGAGAAAGTGCCATGAAGGTCACCAGAGCGTTTTATTGACATGCAAAACACAAACAAGCTGATGCCAATCAGAAATTACTTCAGTCATACTGTGCAGAAAATTAGATTGAGGCTGGGAAATAACAACCGGAGCTAACTCTACTATATCTGTATCTGAATCTACTCACTCGCACTGCGCCAATGATTCACCATTCTGACCTACTAACATTTAAAATAACTGTTGATGTGTGAGCAGTTTATAGTCGGGCTGGGCGAAGACAACACGTCATTTGCTTTTCAGAGGAAATATTCTGAAACAAAATCTGTCTAGATATGAAAATTGATGGCTAGGTAAAGAGAGCAGCCACTGAAACCTGTGTATAGCTTTCATTTTCTGTTCCATTTTGATATTTGTACCTTATACCTTTTCATTCACACTGAGTGACAACACCTCTTGTTGCTTTCTGTGCTGTTTGGAATTGAATAGCATTGAATGAGCCTTTGAGGATTCACTAAACTCATTTATAAATAGCTGTAATCATGCTTTAATTTATATTAAAGCCCCTATGTGTAAGTGTTACAGACCTATTTTATTAATATTGATATTTTGTATAATGGTCTTTTTCATTGTTTATTAAGTAAATTTATTGATTGTCCCAGCAACTCTTGACTGTTTGATTATGATCCACAGGATCAGTCATTTCCATGGTTTCCATTCATTGTCTATGTGAGCTGTCAGGCAATGCATTCTGGTAGGGCCATGGTGCATTTCAAGAGCTCCTCATTTGCATAAGGTAGAGGTAGAGTCTAGGCTACTTTATGCAAATCAGGGCCGTCTGGCACCATGACACACTGCCTCTGGAAATGTTTAAACTAACTGTTGTCCATCTAAAATGAAGATAGATTCAACAACTGTGTGGCATATGTCTCTCCTATGTTCTCAGACACATTTTGGTGAACACTTTTTTTGATTTTGAAATCTGGGAGCAGCAACCAGGGATCTCCGGTTGTGCCCAATGCTGGGATCGACCCCTCACTAGAGGAGCCTGGGAGTTTACTCTTCAATCTCACAGAGTCTCCATATTTTTATTGCTGTTTTTTTTCTGCATGCTCTCAGGGCGGTGGTCTCTAAGTTTGTGACTGCGACTCAGTGTCCCAGTTCTTCCCAGGGTTCTTCTTTCGGTTCCTCTCCGCCATCACCAAAGCCGCCACCACAGTGACCAGCACAGTGATGGTGATGACAAGCACGGTGGCTGTTTCTGCGATGCAGAGCTGGCTGTCAACCCAGGCCAGTGAAGCCCCGGCCAGCTGCGGCGGGTCCTGGCACGTCACGTTGCGATAGTCGTCGATGTGAAGGTGGCGAACGTGCAAGATCTTACTGAAGACGCGATGCAGGTCACAGTCACAGCTCCACGGGTTGCCTGGTGGAGCAACAATAAAGCATAAATGTAGAGATCAACAAAAAAGACAAGTCAAATACTCAATGTCAAGTGTCCCCTTGACCCCAGACTCCTGAGATTTTGACCAAACACAACAAAAAGTTAAATGTTTTAATCGTTTGAAGCACGTATATACCAGTGCTGTAGTTAAGACCACCTTTGTCCAAGACCAGAGCTAGTCGAGACCAAGTCACAGTCCCAATGAGACAGCAACCATGGTAACCAGGTGGCCAATGTCATTGCCCGTTCTAGATGGATTTTGAATGAAACCAATACCTATTTTCTGAACAAGCACACAAAACATATTGTTGGTCTCGAACAAGACCAGCTAGAATATTTGGTGAGACCAATGGCCAAGTCCAAGTGCAAAAGTCTAAGACAATAGAAAAAATGGACCTGGACTTTAGCTGTACTATACACTGGTATATACAAGCACTTGGTCAATGGCCCTCCACTTAAAACTGTGTTGCTGTGGGTATCCCACAAGGCTCTCTGGGTCAAGTTAATAAAAATAAATATGCAATGTCCAGTTGCAGTTTCAAAATAAAGCTTGTGAAGTTAATGTTGTGGAATGGTTGCACATTGGATAAGTTTAGCCACAGCCAATTCTTTATTCATAATTTTTTTTATACTATTATGTCAACTTCCTTTACCACAGAGTGAATAAACACATTCATATTGTGAGAGAGAGAGAGTGGTGTCTCTTCACTTGGTCCACAACAAAGGTTAACGCGAGCTGAACGTGGGTCACAGTATTAGTAGTGATATTGAAACCTGACAGCTGGATGTGTGTAGCTGTTGTATGGAGGCTGATAAAGGTCTTAAACTTGAGGTGATGCAGGTTGTTTCCCTCCAGAGCCAGGACTGCCAGGCTGTAGAGAGGAGCCAGAGCATCAGTGTCTATCTGGGAGATGTTGTTGTTACTCAGCTGGAGCACCTAGACAGACAGACAGGCATTCAGACAGGGATACAGACAATGTGTTCACACACAGAGTCATTTTACGAGTCATTTATGCACCTCTAGTCCAGGCAGCATATCCAGGCTCCCCTGCTGCACCACCTTCAGTCTGTTGTTGTGTAGGTAGAGCTGTCTGAGTCTGGAGAGGCCCCTGAACACACTGGAGCCAAACGACACCAGCTGGTTATAACTGAGGTCCAGCTTCTCCATGCTGTCCAGATACTCCAAGCTGAATGAGGAAGAGTCAGACACCACATGTGCTGAATACTGCTTTGTTTAGCTTCACCCACTGGTGGTTAAACTCTCTTGTGGAGAGGTTTGTTAGTCTATATTGCCTAGCTTACAGTATCGCAATATATCACAATGTATTTGATCGTAACCCCTGTGTCGCTAAATGTAGTGTATCGCCAGATTCTTGCCAATACGCAGCCCTAGAAATAACTGACTTGGCCACTTGGGGGCAGTGGAAACAAGCTGTGAACACAACACTGACATACTATCATCTTTTAAGTTGATATGATGAACTTGTTAGCTTATTTACACACACGACTTCAGACACCACCAGGAGCATTTCAGGAAAGGAGCATTTTGCCCCCATGCCCTGAGTTTGTTAACTTGCTCAGATTGTAATAATGTAAGGAGGCACATTGATTTACTACAAACGACACCTTTCACATTAGACCGTAATGTGAGCAATTGTTATTATAAAAATATTGATCATAGCTGCTTTAATTTCGAGTTTTAAACTACATTTAACAATTAAAGCTGCAAGCAGCGATAAACGGGCCCTGGTACACTCAAGCTGCAACATGGCAAAACATCCAATTAAAACTAATGCTTTTGATAACTTTTCATTGTCAATGTCTTTAGGGAGTACTGATGGAATTTTAAGTCCATCCGATCAAGTTCGTTGAAATACAATGCCTCGAAATGGCAAAAACGGCGCCACAAAATTTTCAAAAATAAAGTTCAAAATGGTCGAGTTCCTGTTGGTACCTGTATCCAGATATGTGATTCAAGTTGTTGTGCTCCAGTCGCAGCTCTCTGAGAGCAGACAGACTGGTTGAGAAGTCAACCGGGAGAGATGTTAACTGGTTCCAACTGAGATCCAGTTTCTCCAGGAAGGACAAAGAGAAAAATGCCTGTGGGGAGAGGGGAAGACAGAGAGAAGCATACATTTAACTACTTTTACTAGACTTTTACTTTAAACTACCAGACTGACATTTCCAGTGCTTTCACCTTCCTCTGTCCCACCATTCCTACCTGTGGTTGTATTGCCTGTATCTGGCTGTTGGTCAGCACCAGCACCCGCAGGGACCACAATCCAGTGAAGGCTCGGGTGCCAATCTCGCTCAGATTGTTTCCTCCCAGCTCCAGCAGCCACGTGCCGTGTGGGAGGCCTCTGGGAACGTGCTCGAACCCACGGCCACGGCAGTCCACCAGGTCGGTGTGCTCGTAACAAACGCACTGATGTGGACACAACCGCAAGCCCTCGATGAATGGAAGAAGGGATGGGGGGAGATAAAAGACAAGAAGGAAGAAGAGAAGGGCCAGGAAAAGGAGACGCATATTTCCCTGGACAGCAACAGGAGGGACGGCAGCTAATTCAAAGGAGCAGCTGAAGGGGAAAGTTGAATGAAGCTTGGTAGTTTAATTCTGCAGTTCTCTTCGCCAAGCCTCGCAGTCACTGTGGAGGCAACTGGAAATAAGACAGAAAGCATGGCAGTGTTTAGTTTACTTTTAAATAAGTAAGTAAGGTGTTTGGCTGCAGTACAGGTCAGAAAGCGTGCTGCCTCCATGTTAACAGATGGGACGTGGGCCAACTTAAAATTCTGATAAATTTCTCCCAAAGATGGTTTCTGTCCTTCTAGGTAGTTCTTATTACACTGATGTATGCAGATGCATCTGTCAGAGTATTTAAAACATGAGCTTGGAGATTCGTCTTGTTCCCAGGCTAGCTTTAAGCATTTATTAGTTTATTAGTTTTGAAAATAAAAACAAAAAATGGAATATCAAGCTGTTTTCCGTTTTGGCGACAGAGTAACCTGACCCCAATCAGCATTTACACACTCAAACTTCATGACATCTTCCAGCATCTCGGATTTCCCCCGTTAAGAACAATAGTCCCCAAACCTTCACCATTACATAAGTTACTTACTGTAGCACAATTGTAACACTTGTTTTTACTAGAGTTTTTCATCCGATTTATCCTCCCTTTCCTGTGCAAATGTAATTACATAATCACAGTCATTAAGAGCAGAGCAGCAGAACGGATTAAAGTCAGTGAGTCTGTCTGATACACACACGCACACACACACACACACACACACACACACACAGTATGTTTTTTATTTGAGGCTACAGCTTCTAAATGACCTGTTTGTTATTTTCTCATAACTTGTTCACTATCAATACAGATATTCTTATAATGTACAGTAAAACAGCTTATAGTGATTTCCTGGTTGATAATAGATTTTTCACACTGAAAACATTCTAATTATTGTATTTTTACATTTTTATACTGAATAAAATTGAAATGAGTAAAATTAACATCCTAATGACACAAACATAAACAAAACAAAAAAAAAAACCTTCCTCCCCCAAATGTCCAACTTACCTCCTCTGCTGACGAAGAACCCAGAAGGTCTCCATACTGGGTCGTCAACCTTTCTATGTCCTGACTTCACTGGACAGCGAGACACAAACAGATGATGGACAGAGAGACACAAAGACAGAGTGATGATGCTGATGGAGAGTGGGCGCAGTCAGCTGTGTCAGTAATCCCCTAATCCTCTTCAATCACCAAATGTTTCCTCTCATCCACTGAACGCAGCTCATCTGATGTTTTTATCATGTCTCTGTCTCTGAGCCCCTCCCTTTCGTGTCCTTATAATACCACTGCGGAGCCTTGGCGTCCCACCATCCGTCTGTTTTACTGACTTTAATATTATATAAAGACTGTTAACGTCTTGTGAGGCATTTGTGTGTGTGTGTGTGTGTGTGTGCGGATGGGCCCCAGAATCCCCAGGTTCACTGCATGTCAGTTGGTGGTGTTATTTTTAATTTACTGCAGATTTGTTTGGAAGTTTTGCATTCCTAATTTTATTTTTTAAATGATTATTATTATCTATTGTGATTTAGTGCAATTGTTATTAGACTCAACTCAACTCAGGCGGGTCCTGTGACTGTATCTTAATCCTGTCCTGGCTGGGAAGCCCTCGTAGACGTTAAGTATTTTAGTTCCTTTTCTTACATTTTTAATTTTCAACTGTATTCATCAGTGTAATTGTCGCCTACTCAAACAATAGAACAAAAAAAAAAAAGAAATCAATTGCTGGACAACTATTTTGATTAACCATTTTTATAAGTAAATGAATTGTTTAAACTATGAATCTGATATAATGCCCCGTATGAAAGGCATTTACTGCTTTTTCACTATATCTGTAATAAACATTTCATTAATTAAAAAATAATTCAAACAGAAAATATGATTCTATTGCCCTGACAATAACACCAGTCTGCAGGCATTTCTTTTCCCAACCAGGAAGCCCGACGTAGCCGCCGGCATGACGCCCACTGCGTCATGACGTTGTCGAAATAAACGCAAACTTCTGAATGCGGAAGCGGCGGCTGTTGTGGACGGTGCACGGCGGTGGATGGTCGGTAACGGGAGAATAACGGCAGAAGAGCAGCCTGTCTGCCGTTGATGAGTGCGTGATGTTGGAGAAACCCGAGGAGGCGACCGGAAACCTCAGCGACGCACTGCTGCTAACGGAAGCTAACGGCTAACAGCGGAGGAAGGTATGTTGTCACAGTTTGACCACGTGACTGCCTCAATAACAACCCGCCTATATTTGACTTCAATTCTAAATGTATTGGAAACAAGTTGTGATTTGTTGTTGTTGTTGTTGTTGTTGTTGTTGTTGTTGTGTTAACCAGTAGAGAACTGGGGAACGTTTGCATATAATACCGGAAATAAGTGTACTCTTCCGTAGGCGGGGCCAATATGATCGTAGAGTAATAGAGATCAGCATTATATTATATTATATTATATTATATTATATTATATTATATTATAGATTGACATTGTTTGTCACCGGCTGCACATTCAGCAGGGCCCCTGGTTGTGGCTGCTGTCATCAGAAATCAGTCAGATAGCTTCTACCTTCAACACATCTACCATCCACTGAGTTCTAGAGGATCTCTCTCTAAAGCACTGGTTCTATCACTGAGTAAACTGATGACCTCTGACTGGGTGACACTTTCCTAACGCAGGACGAGGCTGTTCATCAGAGAGTCTGTGAATAGAGCTTGTGTTCAGCTCCTCAAAGTTGAGATCTTAAATAAAAATCTAAAGTTTAAAAATAACAGTGTCATTTAGTTTTATTTACAGGAATGCACCAACTTCAGGCCTGCTGTGTATATTTTTCTATAGTTGCTGTATAGTTTTCCTGCACCCCGTAAAATAGAGAAACCCTTTGCATCCCCCCCCATGAAGCTTTGGCGACCCCTAGTGGGGGCTCCAGCCCCCAGGTTGGGAACCACTGCTCTAAAACATTAGATATTAAACTACAAAAGATACTTTGTAATGTCAATACAGCCACAGCAACTACTGTACAGTATTGTTATTCAGCTACAGTAGGCTAACCTGACTAATGCCTGATAACTCTAACATAGAGCTGTAGTGATCAGTTAGTGATCAGAAATAAAGAAACTTGTGTGTTTGAAGTCGTAGCACAGTGTTGATGCTAACAGCAGGTTGAATGTGTTTCACAGTAAGTACTCCATAGGGAATGCATACAGGTCAGTTTTGGCCCACTATTAATGAAAGTTGTGATAAGGACAGAAAACCGTCTGAATCAAGCAATGACATATGTTATTCCCAGAAACCTGGACGGGGTCATTCATTAGTCACTCAGGAAATGTGTTAATAATCCTTTTAATTCTGAAAGAGAAGAGTGATTGTTGGGATGAGAGAATGATCTACAACCACTGCCGCCATTCCTCCAGCGTGTTTCACCGTTTCTGCTTCTTTGCACTGTGGTTCTGCAGCAGCCATGGCAGAGGCCGGGGCCCACCTGACCTCCACCGCCGCGAACGAGCAGCCGTCCATCTTTGAGGTCCTGGCACAGGAGTCTCTGATGGAGTCGGTCAGACCAGCACTGAGGCACGCAGTCAAGGTGAGCGCCGCTCGGACAATGTGTAGAGAATAATACTGTAAAGCTGGTCAGTGTCTGGTTATACTTTATTTGTTTTTTTTCATTATGTAAGTGATTAACTGTATGTGTATGACATGAGGGTGAAAGAAATGGTAAAAGTAAGAATCAGGATTTTTTTCCCACAGAATTGAGATCAGGATTTATTGCAGTGCACGTTGTCTTAATGCAGACAGTATGTAAACATTAGCTACTGGTAAAGGGCACCGCTCATGTGCAACTGTATCAAACGCTCATTCCAGGGATGACAAGCTAAGCCAGTGCCCGTATTGAAGTATGAGCAAACAAAAGGTTATACATACAAACTGCCACTAGATGTCGCATTAGAGCACTGGCATCTCAGACCAAAACAATGAGCGCTACGGCCACCAGACTCCACTGGTAAAATCAGTCCCATTACTGCACAGATAATCGTAAAACACACGTCAGAAAGCAAATAAAACTCACCAAAATGGGCCCTGTCAGTCTTTCCAGCAACCATCAACGCTGGTTGGTTGAAATGAAGCCCTAATTAGATTCGAAAATATTCCCGAAAAGAGCTGCAATGTCTGCAACGTGGATGGCCCTCGGAGACAAATACATAGTTCATAATGAAAGACATTGCATGGAGTTTGGTGGGGGAAAAAAATGGCAATTTTACCTCTCATAGTTGTCGCATCATAACTTCATTCAGAGTGGACAGAAGCAAAATAAAGCTGGCCAAAACCATCTTTGTTAGTCTTTCCACTGTTCCAGCAATCACCAGCTCGGAGTTTGTCTAAAGAAATCTTTCCTGGTTCTCAGGTCCTGGCGGAGTCCAACCCTTCCCGATTCGGTTTCCTGTGGCGACGCTTCGACGAGCTCTACCTGCTTCTGGACCTCCTCCTCCAGAACCACTTCCTGTCTCACTGCAGCGCCTCCTTCTCCGAGAACTTTTACGGCCTGAAGAGAGTTTCGGGAGGGCGAGGACTTCCTGTTGGCCTGGGGCTGCAGGGGAAGTCTCACTGGCGCTCTCTTCTTCTCCTGTGCCTGGTGCCGTACCTGCGGGCCAAGCTGGAGGCGACGCTGGCACGTCAGAGGGACGAGGAGGACTTCTCCATCCGGCTGGCGCAGAGCAGGGGCCAGAGGCTGTACCGGGCGGCCGTGGCGGCGTACCCTTACGTGAGCTCAGCGTGGCAGGCCTGGGTTTTCTGCCAGCAGCTGCTCTTTGTCTTTGGAGTCTCCGGGACCCATAATCCCCTGCTGTGGCTGGCCAGGGTCAGACTGGCACGACTTAACGCTCAAGATATCAAAGACATGGAGCTGAAGACCGGCAAAACTGGCACCCCAGCGGAGGGGAGGTACATCTGTCCGTTAGTACTGTTAGACTGTTCATGGAGACCTATGTTTCTTTGTTTTTTTGCCCTGCTCCTAGTCTCACAGGCAGTACTCATTTTCCCCCAGTCAGGCCTTCCAATCAGGTTTCTAGATGGATGCATGGTTGGGTCATGGTTTGGTTCGGGTCTGCTATCCCGCTAAACAGGGCTGCAACCAGCGGTTATTTTCATTAACCTGTCGATCATCTTCTCAATTCAGTGATTAGTTATTTGGTCAATAAAATGGTGAATAACGGTGATCACTGTTTCCCAAAGCCCAAAGATATATAAATAAAATATAAATATAAAATTATAAAAAAAACAGAAAAGACTCATTTGAGAAGCTGAGATCAGAGAATGTTGACTGTTTAATGGTCGACAACTAATTGATTAATAAGCTAATGATTAGCTGATTAAGTAGAGTGGCAGTTCTACCACTGAAGGAGGCCAGAAAGCAAAACCTACTTTAGAGGCTTAGATCAGGGCAAAAAGAAACTTGAACTTGTTCTACCTGTTGATTTTCATGCTGCACTGAAATAAGTGAAACCAACAGAAAGTCCGTTTTAAAAGCAACAACATTTTTCGGGAATGAAACTCCACAAATGGAGCAGAACAGGCTACCTGATATGGCAGTTTCAGGGAGTGATTATGTCCATACGGGGTTCCCATGTGTCCTGGAAAACCTGGAAATTTAGAGCCTAGCTTTCCAGTCATGGAAGCACCTGGAAACTGATTAATAAAAGTTGTCCTGCAAAGCTTTAATTGTATTTTAGCCCCTCACTCAGGTTTGAACTCTGAAACTACACTTCAGAGCGATGGCGCTCTAAATACATGCACAGAGATGTTAACTGTATGTGCAGCAAACACTTCTTTTAATAGACTAATAGGTGAGAGCTGAATCTGACTTTAAGAGGTTATGGGAAAATGTTCTTGCATGAGGCCCAGTGTCAGACAAACATCTTAAATTCACCACCCACAATGCATTGTTCTTCTGTTTGCAGCCTGGTGCAGAGAGCGTGGTGGTTGATGTCACAAGCAGCCAGGGGCGTGGCCGTGTCCCTCTCCACCTCCCTCTCCATGGGCGTCTTCTTCCTGCAGTTCCTGGAGTGGTGGTACTCCTCGGACAACCAGAGCGCCGTGAAAACCCTCACCTCGCTGCCCGCTCCTCCACCGCCCCTCCACCTGCAGCAGGAGCGCAGCGGCCGGGACTCTCCGCCCACGTCGGCCAGTCGCAGTGGAGGCGCCCAGCCCGGCTCCGACTGCAGGAACTGCCCGCTGTGCCGGAGGCTTCGCACCAACGCCACAGTGCTGTCCACCTCCGGCTTTGTGTTCTGTTACCGCTGCATCTACACATACGTGAAGGCCAACCGCCGCTGTCCGGTCACTGGCTACCCCACCGAGCTGCAGCACCTCATCAAGATCTACTCGCCGGAGAGCTAGACTACATCAGTGTGTGGAGTCTCTGACTACTGACTTTTTTTTTTTTTTTCCAGAGAACAGTGGCCTTGCGAGGTTCCCTCTGGTGTGAGGAGCTGCAGGCTCTCTGTGCTCAAATACTGTCTATTTTTTGGGATAAACACACTGTGTTTTCCTTTTGTATGAAATAAGCTTTGCAATAGTGTTTGATCATTGCTCAGTGATGCAAGCTGATTTATATCTGATGCTGGATTTCTCTTTCAGCTCACGTCACATTCAATATTTATAATTTCATTATTAAATTGTATTTTAATGTTAAGTGGTATTAAGTATTTTTTTAAGTGCAGTAATTTTTAATTATGGAAATACATACACAGTTCATTCATTATGAATTCATTATAACATGAAAAATCCTGTTAATGAAACGACATTTAAAAGAAGGGACGGGGAGCTTTAGAGGGAATTGGACTCATGATTACAGTCCTTAGACACCCTGGAAAACCTCTATGGAGCCATTATTGCAGCAAAACTATTTACAAATGAGTGGAAAGTTCCGTGTGCGAAATCAGATTTGTAAATGTGTAAAAGGATCTGTATAATAGGCACTGAGATTTGTAAATGTGTAAAAACAAATCTACAAATCTGTATTCAGATTTGCAAATGTATAATATAGATCTGTAAGTGTGTATGGATTGGATTCTGAACACACAGATTCCTGTACACATTCACAAATCTCAGTAACTGTTGTAGAGATTGTGCACACGAGATACAGTCACACAGCTCTCCACTCACATTTATAAGTGGTTTTGCTCCAATAATGGCTCCATAATGACTCTTCCATGTTGGAAGATTTGAAATGTATTTTATCCCCTCACTCAGATCGATGACGTAAACCGTATTCTGTGAGAAACCTGACTCTTGGTAGGAGCTGCACATCATGATACTTCAACGTGAAACGGACTTGTAGCGATCTTTTCAGCGTAGACGGATTGCTGTTATGGTTTGAGGTAAACTGTAGTCAATATGCCGGAGGCCACAGCGGAACAACCTAGGGCACCACAAAGAAACGGACTGTTGCTTCATGAAGGAAGAATAAAACTGGGGTCAGATGTGACAACACTATGGCTACTGGTAAATTATGAGTGAGCAAGTGCTGTCCTTATTGAAAGGTCCTGGAAAATGAGTGGGAACGCTGTTTAAAGGTAAGCTTCCCACAGATATTTGCCTGAAAACGTCCTGCAGCTGACCTGGAAGCTGTTCAGTTAACATATTTGGAGACATCAAACCTCAAAGGAATAGTTTGACATTTTGGAAAATATGTTTATTCCCTTTCTTGCTGTGATGCAGATGAGGATTGATCCCACTCTCATGTCTGTAAGCTATATAAGCTACAGCTAGCAGAGCTTAACTTGGCATTAAGACTGGAAACGAGGAAACAGCTACCCTGGCTGTCTACAGTAGCTCGAAGCAGCTTGACCGTTTAAGCATGGGTTTGCTGCGTTGAGCGGTCCGAATGGGCGCAGGATACGAGAGGCGACCATCATGGGTTTTATGCACTTTGAACAGGTTATATGAGTACTGGGAAATGCAACAGGAAATCGGTGAATTGCTTTATTGAGTTTCCAGACAAGTTTAACAACAGGCCCACTTTAAAAAAAAAAACAGGATCAACGTCACAACGTTACAGTGAGAGTAAAAAAAAAAAAAAAAAAAAAAAAAAAGGGCTTCATTAAAATGTCCACAAACCCCTGAAATGACACTGAGTGTGAAGAATCACAAGTCACCTTCTTCCCTTTTTAAGCTCCTGCAACACAATTCATCAACAGGAAATCAGGACGAGAAGGAAAAACGGGCTGAAAACTTCGAAAAAGGGACAAGTATCATCATCAATAATAGTCACAGTAATAGATTGCTCGAATAGCGTGTATTGCACATGTGTACACATATATGCACTTTATATATACATGTGAGTCAGCAAGAACTAGACACATGTTGTATTGTCGCAACAAGAAATAATCTGGATTAAAACGAGAGCACGGACAGAGAATAGTCAGGAATGTGCTTGTGATCAGTTCCAACAAAAACGGCGTTTTCCGATTTTTCAGTCACGAGCCGGACGAGAGAAAAGGTAACAGAGAGAACGTCTCCCCTCGAAAAACACAAGGAGGTAAGAGAGAGAGGAGGTGACAGTCGCACTGATTCTGAACCTCCTCGTCCCACCCCAAAAGTCCAAAGATAGCCCTCCCCCACACCGCATCATAGCAGGACACTACATTTACACCACAGTATCAAACATATCAAGAAATATACAGTATTAACTCATGTAGCAAAATAGTCTGTGTGTGTGTGTGTGTGTGTGAGAAAGTGTGCGTTTTACCTCAGTGTGTGTGTGGGTGGTAGCAACAGTAAAGCTGTGTGGCCTCTGGACTGGGGAGGTCTGTCACCCTGTCACACACACGGCCAGGCTCTGTCCGCGCTATTAGTTTTAAGTGTGCAGGATAGCAACGCCACTGGTGCAGATGGTTCTCTAGGAGCCCTTTCATTAGGACTCGGGACCAAATCTTAAACAAAAATCTTAAATCTTCAGTCCACAATCTGTGCTTATGTGTGCCCTCTGACCAAGACCAAGCAGCAACCATCCTGACTTAAAGGTCCAGTGTGTAACATTTAGGAGGATCTACTGGCAGAAATGGAATATAATATTCACAGGTATGTTTTCTACAACCGCTCTGGGTCCTCCTTGGCCACTATGTTGAACCGCCATGTTTCTACAGTAGTCCAGGACGGACAAACCAACACTGGCTCTAGATAGGGCCTTTAGCGTTTTGAGCAAGCTTCACAGCCACTGTGGTTGCTCCTTGAGCTGTATTCAACTCGTTGCAATCTGCAACTTTACCACTAGATGCAACTAAATCCTACACACTGGTTGTTTTAAAGGATGATTCTGTTTCTTACGATTTGGGTCTTATTTTTGTAGTTGTGTTGATTACGAGAACGTTGAATTCACCAAAGTAATTGCTGAAATATGAGAACACAGCAACGTCGCTACAACAGAAGCCCGGGGTACGGTCAAAATGAATTACAATGTGGTCTGACCACGTCTAAAGGGGAAAGTATTTGTAGCTGGTCCCACCCAGTGTTCTCATGGTGCATTCCATTTGAAATTGGAAGTCGGAATTTCCGATCATGAAATTCATCATCATGAAGTCGGATTTCAGACTTGGGAAAGTTGGAAGAACCTCACCAACCCCACATTAAAAAAAACCAAAATATCCTAATATGATGATTCTTAACCGTTGTATTGGGATACCTATCGTATGGCCAGATTCTTGCCAATACACAGCCCTAATTGCTAACCTAATAGGTTTTTTGACTTGAACTGGAACGTAGTCGACTCGGGTCGTTCTCCCAGCACCTCAGACTTCAGAGGAAAATGGAAAGCACCATTATTATGGAAAAAAACAAAACTAGGAAAAAAAAAAAAGGCCCAAATTGTAATAAGTGACAGGGAAAATACGAAATTCTTCAACAGACAATTTTAATTAATTGCTCGTTGGTAATTAAAAAAATAATGTTGAGAAAACGTTAAGGCATTTTTTTAATTGGGGTATAAATTGCTTAATTGACAGGCTTCTCAGCTGTGGTCCACTTGCTCGTCCCTCCACAGTTTTGTTCCTTCGTGCCGCGTGAACTCCAGTCGAGATCAGGCGTCAACAGCTACCGTCGTCAATAGCTAATTCTCATCCGTCCAACTCCACCGCTCGACCTCCCCAACGAGAGGCACTGCTATTACTGACTACTGATACAATGGACAAAATGGCCTTAGTGTTTACATTAGTACAAAAAGACTACACTGAACCGCCTGGAAACACAGCTCAATAAATCAATCAATCTTTAGATCAATCAATACTCTGTCCATCCCACCTGACAGATAATACATGCAAACAGCGCTCAACCACAGGGAACCCCGCAAATGATGTAAGCTGTGATGCTGTCTGCCGCTTCACCATGGCAACGCTAAAGCTGGACATTGAAGTTCTCTCTCTCTGTTCCAACCACTGCTGTCCTGTCAGTGTTGTATTGCTTTGAACAGACGAGACCCAGAGGAAGCAGCGTGAGCTACAACACTCGCTACACCACAAAGGGTCCTGGGAAATGGACTTGTGAGGTTGAAGATTGTGTCCGGCAGAGTCAGCTTACCGAATGACTCGATAGTGTTTCTGAGTTAAGTTTCTGATGATGCGGATGATAGAGTGGTCCAGTTCTGAAGCTTTGCGTCTACTGGGCACCTTCAACGAGCACAGGACAAAAACAGCAATAAACTGGCGCTTGGTGAACACACAACTGTGTAGTTAGCATACTTGGGCCATGGTTCCCAACAGTTAGTGGAATGGAAACGGATTTTTGATTGGATTTTCATCCATTTTAAAACTTTCATGAAAGCTAATAAAGATGATTGCTAACAAATGGTTAACGGGGGAGATTATATACCATAACAAAACAATTGAGTGCTCCATTAGCCCTGATCCAGGAACAGCATATTATGTATGGAAAATGTGTTACAGCAGGGATGCTGAAAATATGAACTCAGTGGATGGTAGGCAATCTTCTTAGTCACTTCAATGTGGAAAAATGGTTGGTGCAAACTTAGAAACTAAGAAAAAGATGTGATTTACACTGACCAAGAAAGGTCTTCTCTATTGAGCTCCACTGCGCTGCACACTACATTTTTGGCTTTGCTCCTCAAAACTACCTTGTTGTAGACTCTGCGATATTTTGTTCCCCCAATGGTTGCAGCAGCTGCTGGGCTTGCCTACCCGCTCTTTTCCACAGAGGATATCACGCCAGTGCTCATGGCAGCTAGTACCAAAAAAGTGAGCTGAATTGAAGTGGCCATCAGTGACTCTCGACTTTATCATTATCTAAGCGAAAAAGAGAGAACACTGGCAGTGTACCATTCCCTGACATCTCCCGCCCTCTCTTGGACTCCACTGAAGGCCATACCTTGTGTTCCCACTTGAGAACTTGTGAACACACTGTGACTTCCTGTGTCATCTTTGAATGCAAATTGTTTTGTATTAAAAAGGTACTACAGTTTTTAGCTGGTTATAAAACGATGTAATACTGATGCCTCTATATGATCTACATAAGCACACAAGACCATCAGCAAGAAGATTGGCCATTTCTGTAAAGTTATTCTTAATGCCTTCCACCCGGTTGGATTCCCCTTTAAATCAATGAAACAAGGCTGTAGAAGCATTACCGCTTTTGTCCACAGGGGCCGCCAGAATCAACAGAAAATGAAAAGTTCCTTGTAAGTTTACTGGAAGCTACCTTTCTTAGTCAGGGTAAGTGACATATTTTTAAACCTGCCATTTTAACCCCATCTTTTACACCTTTCTCTATATATATATATATATAAGAAGATAACCCACCATCCAGTGAGTTTGTACTTTAAACATTGCTGTAACACATTTTTGGAGCCCGTCAGTGACTAAACATCCAAGCTACAGGATGCTGATTCAGCTGTGATATGAAGTACGACGGTCAGCGCTAATGAATCACATAAACCATGGAAAAGGGCTTGCTAACTCCCTGTTGGACTGCAAAAATGCATCACCACTGGACCAAATCTATTTACCCAGTTATGACATTTGACCTTCATATCCACTGTTCTGTAGTTGCTGCTGATTGTCTGTGGAGGGCAGCGCTGCCTTCCTGGTCCTGCCAGAGGAACAGGAGCTCACTGTTCACCTCCAACAACAACAACAACCACTACAACGACAATATCCAGCAACCCTCAACATCTGTAAACAAACATACAAACATGTGGCGGTCTGATGTCATCAGACCGTGTGCTTACTTCCTGTCAAACAGCCAAACCTTTTAAACATCAAATCTCCAAATAGAATATATTCATGAATCCAATCTTATTGGATAAAACACTGTTTACATATATATATATTTATATAGAATATTATTTTTTCTTTTTTTATACAAAAAGAGAAAGTAGTTTGTGTTTTTATACATATATGTATGTACAGATATAGAAAAGTGACCACACTGAGTCTGCTGTGACGTAACCGTGGGCAACAGGACAGGAGACAGTATTTACACCAAACAAGAAATATTACAATAAAAAAAAAAATAGAAGAAATAAGAGGGACGTGGTGGTCTTTGTGGTCTGCCACAATCCAACAATCCCCTTTAGAGAAGAAGGGATGGGGCTCAGGTCACATGACTCTCAACCGAAATAAGTGAAAGAGAGAGAGAGGAGTGGTGGTCTGAAGCGATGCAGTTTCAATAAGTACATATTTTAAAGAATGAATACTGCTAAAACGGGCCTGATCCTGAGACACTCACCAGATCCCATAAAAGTCTGATTGAATATTATTATTAACATTACATTAATATTCAATGGAGATTTTTACTGGAGATGTCTAGTGTGCATTGATGGCTTTAGAGGCGTTTCTTCAGTCTGTTGGGAATACCTGGTATGAATATTATAAGATTTTAAAGAAAATACATTTCTTAGCAGTTTAAATACATTTCTGAGTACATATTTATATTATGATTCTCTCTCTCTCGCCATCTCTCTCAAGGTTGCTAAACAGTGAGATAAGAACAAATTAAGGCATCCAGATGAAGAAACAAAGACTTGAAAATGAACTGACCGACTAAAACAACAGCAGTGTGTGTGTGCATGCGCATTAGTGTGTTTCTTCAGTCCTGATTGGCTGGTTGGTTTGCTGAGGTGCTGCGGTGGTGGTGTTTTGTGGTTTCTGATTGGACGTTTTTTTGTTTTTTTTTTAAAAAAGGCACCTAGTTCCTCCTCCTCCTCTGCTCATTTTACAACAGGTTGTTCCTCCTCCGCCAGCCAACCCCACGTTCTTTCAGCCTGCCTCTCTGACAGACAGACAGACAGACAGACAGACAAGTCGTCTGCCTGCCGTCTGACATCTTGACGGGATTCAAATTCAGGTTTTCCACAGTCATCTTCCCGCTGTGGAAACCGAGGAGTAGGGACAAAATAGAAAGACAAGAGTGACTGGGCGGTGGGAGGGGAAAATTCAGTGGTGCTGTGTACAGGTGGTAAAGTATACAGGTCACAAGACGTGTCTCCTTGCTGACCCTCTCCTCCTCTGGTTTCCACGGAGATGCTAACAAGTCGTCTGCTCCTCCTTGGGCTAATGAACCAATGGAAAAGAGATGTGTCCATGTTTTTCACAGGCCCCGCCTTCTCCTGCCTCCATATTGTTCTCCTCAGCCAATCGGAGTCCTCCCCAACGAGACAATTCGACTCTGCGTGTGTGTCCCTACACACACTCTGCGGAGGAATAGGAAGAGGAAGAGGAGGTGCCAGAAGGAGGTGAATGTGGAGTTTTTGTGTGGTTCTTTTTTAAGCTCCGCCTACAATACAGGCTCTTCTTCCATTGGCTCCTCTGTGGACCTGCAGACAGTTCAAAATCGAATGTCACATTTAAAAGCACTTTTCACATATACAATTAATTTATAAAATAAGCCTCAAGTATAATATTATGCACTTGTAAAAATAACTGTAGCGTTTAGCATTATCTCATCTAGTTACTATCTAGTTACTTTGTGTTGCTTAAATAGTTTAATGCAATTAACTTTATTTTCCAGCAATAGGTATACCTCAAGGCTCGGTGTTAGGGCCCCTCCTATTTAGTCAATGTAACAACGATCTCCCACAACAGTGACAAATAGAAGTGCAAATGCATACAGATGACATTGCTGTATACGCACAGGAAAAAAACACAGGTGGTGTAGCTGCAATTCTAACACAGTGGCTTGATTGGTGATGCCGTAGTCTGAATATTGGCAAGATAAAAGTTATTTTTAAATTTCCGAAAAACCAATAGAACCAATAGAACCCTGATAATGCATGGTATTACGGACTTTGCCTCTTTATGTATATATATATGTATAAAAACTAGCTGCACCTGCATGTGATTGAGTGCAGGGAGAACCAGAAATAAATTGAGGAGTGTCTAGTGCAAGAACATTTCATCATAAGATCACGAATAATGTTCCTGTAAGTTACCCTTCAATATCATATTATTTTATTTTATTACAATACAATATATATTTGTGCTAGTTAATATGTCCTTGCTTCATTTTAATTCCATTTTTCTAAGGCACAATAGCAATAAGCTAGCTAATAGCTGCTGCTGCTAATTAATGCTGCTGACAGTGGAAGAACCATTATTATCAGCAATCTGCTGACTGACACATGTACGGGCTTGTACCATACGGGTTCTCTAATGATGCTGTGAAGCTATCACAGTTCTCTGCTGACCTGTTGGTTTCCGTGTTGTCTGGAACGGAGCTTGGCTGCTCAACGTCAACACTGAGGGAGGCCATGGCGCTGACTGTTTCTGCCTCGTCCTCTGATTGGCCCTGAGACCCCAGGGGGCCGTCCATTAGCGAGTGGCCACTCGTCTGAGACAAACTCTGGAGACAGGACCAGTGTTTACCTGCAGAGACAAAGAGAAAGAGAGCAATACACATTGACTGAGGATCAAGAGCTGTGCGTGTGTGTGTGTGTGAGAGTGAGTGAGTGAGTGATTGAGTGAGTGGGTGCGTGTGTGTTTCTTACTCTGGATCTCTATTACTCTCTCTAGTGAGGCCCAAGCTTTTGGACATGGCTTCTCCTGAGGCCACTGGAACACAGAGTCACACTGAGAGAGACAGAGAGTGTGTGTTAACAGCAATGCAGGAAATACTAAGTACCCCAACACATCCAGCAAACACAACGCTCATCACTGAGGACGATAATACCACAGACTGGAGGCTTCTTTACCTTTGCACATGTTGACCTGCACTGTCTAAAAGGAATAGTTCAACATTTTAGGTAAATTACTTAGCCGCTGTCCCCCTAAGAGTAAAAACACAACAGATCATTTTGAGCTTCTTACACTACTCCAAACAAGCATCAGCTGAACAAAGATTTCACAGGGACAATTAACAACGCAAATAATATTGATACTTAATTCACCATCATAGTAAGTTAGTATCAAGGCTCTTGAACTTTGTCATAATAGAACTATTAAGCTGCTGCTTTAACAGCTAATTACTCATTGCTAACTTTGCACCAAAGATCAGGAGTGACAGGATTATTTCCAGGATATTTGGTCATTTTTTATCAATTTCCAGGTGTTTCCAAGACTGGAAAACTAGTCTCTAAATTTCCAGGTTGTGTGGGAACCCTGGAAAAGCACCACATACGACTTAGTATACTGACTTAGTAGGGCGTAAGAGGAGAGGGAGAGACCCTAGAGTTGTTAGCAGAAGAGCCACAGACTGCGATTACTCTTCTTTTTTTTGCTTTTCATTTATTGTGACAGCTGTAGAGTGACAGGAAAGGGGGGAGGAACAATGGGCCAAGGGTCAGAGTTGAACCCATGGTCACTGCAGCAAGGACTCAGCCTTGGTACATGGGGCGCCAGCTCTACAAGGGAAGCTACCAGGGTGCCCCAAAGATCATCTTTTTAACCCGACATCTGCAGGGGAAGGGGAGTAGTGTCAGGTCACATGACTTCCTGATTATGATTTGTTTACTATTGCCAGCAATAGCAAGCATAAGTTATGAGACAAAAGCAGAAATGGAGTGAAGGAAGAAGACTTTTCTTCTACTTGGGACAGAACCAGGCTAGCTGTTTCCCCCTGTTTACAGCCTTTATGCTAAGCTAAGCTAATTAATCTTCTCATCCAACTCTCAGAAAGAGTGAATCTCCCAAAATGTTGAACTGTTTCTTTAACATTCAAACTCTGCTCCTTTGTGAAATCCCTAAAAGGTAACTAAAGACAGTGTGCTATTTCTATACTATTCATAGAGAACACAGGTTGACAAAGGCTAGAGTGTTTCATGTTTTAAATGAAAACATTAATAATTACTGATGACATTCTCTGTCTTACCGGGTCTCCCAGAAGCGCAGACACACAGGCCTCTGACGCGTCACATATGGCGGTGAGGTCATGACCACCCTCCAGCGCCATAACAACACGCCCACCCGCCAGACCCATCAGCAGCTGCGTTAGCTGCCCGAAACCTGCAAACACACATGGGGCACAGTCCAGAAACACACATTATTTGGCGATCGTGTCGGTGACATAGCGTTCAGAAAATGGCCTTGTTCTGATCACCGTGGTAACTGGTGTAGTACTCACACTTGGCAGAAACATTGTATCCTCCCAGAGGAGACTGATGACCCTCCACTGCGTCGAAGCCTGCAGACACCAGAACCACATCTGGGCTGAACTGCTGGGCGATGGGCATCACCACACTCCTACACACACACACACACACACAATGGACATTTTAATGCATTCTGTTTCCTTCATGGTTCATACTGAACATAAACCAACCTTTTCGTCTCACTTTATTCGCATCAATTTGGCCACTGAGGACTTTTTGTGGACAGTATTTACTCACTGGGTGCCAAACATCTCACTGATCTCCCTCTACTGACCTCTGTAGTAACATAGCTATTTAAAACATATATTTAAAAAGGTGAGAATCCAATCATTATAATGGTTACCTAAAGGCAGTGAGGTACTCCACATCACCCATGGGTGGCTCTACTCCTCCGGTCCATGCTATGTTCACATTAAAACCAACACCTACACCTGATCCCACCTGCAGAGAGAGCGAGAGAGAGTTGGAGCAAGTTGGTCATAGGAATATAAAATATACCAATATATGTAGATTACATTAGTAATAAATCACTTGGAATTCGGTTCCAGTGGTTGTTTAAAGTGTGTCAACAATATCACCATATATCAACCAAGTTTTGGTTTTATGAGTAGTATGAAGGAAACTACAACCTGAATTCCATTATACAACCCTGCTTTGTAAAATGACAAACCATGTATCCTTGTATCACAGCCACAACATTTTTATTGAATATCTGAAATGAATATATGAATATTAAGCATTTTAATATTATTCACATAAAGTAACACAGTATGAATTTAACTGCAGATCTGAGTCTATTTTGTATTCTTTTTTCTAATGGCCACTGTCTCAACCATGCTATGGCACTAATCAAACACTAGCATCCTCCAGATCCTACTTCCATTTAACCTCTGGCTCTGATGACACATTCATTGGTACCAACCATGCCATGGTAGCATGTTGGGAAGGGCACTGCATGATCAGTCATTTTAATTTAGAGAGAGAGACTTCAGCCGCTCTATTCCACTCTTAGGAAATAAAGCGTTAAATTAGATCCAACATTTGTGGCACCAATACGAGGGTGGAACACTGTGGTACTTTAATCTTTTTTCAGCCTCTTCCTGTTTACCTCTATTAGCAGTACAGTAGCCTCACAGGTCAGACCTATCCCTTACTACAATATTAGCAGTAACGGAGAGGTCATAGCAACATGGCTAAACTGTAGGCTGTTACCACTTTGTATATATATATATATATATATATATATATATATATATATATATATGTGTATGTACTATAGCAGATTATTTTCATTGCTGTCACTATCACATAAGCAGTAGACCTTTAGGCAAATTTGTTTTGTTTCCCTCGGTGAGCAAACAGATTGACCTGTTGAATGGAGAATGGAGTAAATAAAATAATAATAAACATTACAGTCTTCTTTGAGTTCCTGCACCAAGCTTGACAACAACAATGCCAGTGTAATAGCCTGTAGTAAAGAATCACCACTGGTGCAGTGCAAAGTGTTTGATCAGTATGGAGCATGTTTTGATGAGCAAGTCCCTGTTTTGTTCGTTTATCTGCTTGTTGCAGTAGCACACCCATAAGGATGCACATATGTGTGTGAGTGTGCACATAGAAGGAGAAGAAGAAACACAGAAAGAGGTGGAACAAGATGCAGAGGAGGCTCATCAACAGAAGAAGGTGACGCAGCGGTCAAAGTCTACCTCGCTATTCCACTGATCGACTGTTGGTGGCAGCACTGCAGCAAAAAATATACCAGTGTACAGGGAAGAAGAAACCCCAAGTTTAAATCTGGACTTTTCAAGTACTTTTTGAGTACAATTAGAGGGCAAACAATAGTTTACATATGCCAGTCTAGCTTAGCACAGTACTATACAAAGACTTGTATGGGTCACCTGTGTGTGTGTGTGTGTGTGTGTGTGTGTGTGTGTGTGTGTGTGTGTGTGTGTGTGTCTATGTGTGTGTGTGTGCGTGTGTGTGTACCTCCTCAGGAGCTCCGCTGCCAGGAAAGAAGTTTCCATCATCGTAGCGGTGGAGGGAGATGTAGAGGACGTTGGGGTCGCTGTAGAAGGCCTGCTGGGTGCCGTTGCCATGGTGAATGTCCTGTGGTGACAGGTCACAGTGGCATGAGAGAGAAGGTCAATGGTTGATACAGGCACTCTTAACACACTGTGGTCAACACATAACCCACAGTTCTCTTTGCCTGCATATATAAAAGCCTGCACAGAATAATTAACTATTAACTATTAACTTGAGGTGTCACATTGCAACAGCAGTGAACTTTTTATACATACAAAAGGAAACTTTTGAAGCCAACTTCTCTCTGTGACCTGTGCAAATGTTAAACTGGGCCAAATGGGACCAACGAGCCAGGTGGGTGCTGTTTATTCACAACAGTCTGAACAGGAAGTGCGGAGGACAGAATGAATCAGCTGTAAATTACATTTAATGGTGCACACCAACTCATATTTCTAATTCAGTGAGTTTTAAAAAATAAACTGGAGTTCCAAGTAGAATGAACAAGATAACCAAGGAAACATTCAAAACATGACTCAGCCTTGGTTTTCATTAAAGCTGCAGTAGTTCACTTTTAATAAAGTACCTTTTTTTCATGTTCACTGAAACTTTCCCTATATCCTGACAGTAGAACACGAGACAGATAATCTGTGAGACAATCAGGTTCCTCTGGCTCCTCCTAGTGGTAACGGGGGGGGGTTGCTACTCACCCAGTCCACAATGAGGATCTTGCCCACTCCCAGCTTCTGTTGCAGCAGCTTGGCTGTGATGGCTACTGAATTAAAGAAACAAAACCCCCTGTTCCAGCAAAACACATGTAGAGAAAGAGTGGTACAGACTGTTAGTCATCAACAAAATGTGCTGTTGTGAAATATGCAGTGGTGTAACAATGAGCTTATGGCTGTACTCACATGGCAGTGGATTCCTCAGCGTGGTGACCTGGTGGACGCACCACTGCGAAGCCATTCTGGCACAAAAACAAAAAACAGACACAGAGTGAAGGACGGGTCAGACCGTGTGTTTACTTTCAGGAAAACTTACACACTCGTGAGTATTTGCGCGTTACCTTCAGCTCCCCTGCCGCCACTCTGAAGGCCAGCTCGATGACGGAGCCAACTGCCATGCGGACTGCAGCCGACGAGTGCATCTCATTCCACACGGTGTCGCTGTCCACCTGCGGGGGGTTCACAGAGCTCAGACCACAGCTAAAACACTGATATACAGACAGATGGATGGAGTAAAGAGATGGCCTCACCCCGATTCCTCCACAAGGAAGAACAGCATACATCTTCTGGCTAATTGGACCTGAAACAACCAATCAGAGTAGAGGTTATTGTGGTGTGTAAATTAGGATGATTACATATTAATACAGGACAGCACTTGTTCACAGTGGTGATCATTGCAGCTCCCTGTACACTGGGAATACTCAGTCATCCCTGTCCTGCCTGCAACTGGTCTAGAACGCCGCAGCCATCACCTCTATTCTGGCCTCTCTCCACTGGCTGAATTTATAAACTCCTTCATGTGCTGGCCCTTTCCTATACTGCAGACCTCCTGACCCATTATTCTACATCCAGGTCCCTTGGGTCGGCTGACTTGGGGCTCCTGGCTGTCCCGCATTCCAAACTTAAGCTCAGGGTTCCTGTTGCTGTTCCTGAACTGTGGAACAGCATCCCCCCTCAGATCAGATCTGCCTCTTCCAATGGTAATTTTAAGTCCAGGCTCAACAGGTGGCCTGGTGCTCTGTGTTGTTCATCTGCACCTGTGAGCTGTGTGCAGTGAGTTTTATGTTGGAGTTTCTTTTTATTTGTGTTTCTCTTAATTGTGATTGTCTCTACCTGCTCTGGTCTGTACAGCACTTTGGTCAACAAGAATTGTTTTTAAATGTGCTTTATTTGATTTGATATACTACACAGACACTACAAATACTTGTAAGTGGGAATTTGAATGCAGAATTTGAGTATTTTACACTGAGTACAATATTGTACTTTTACTTCAGGTTCTCAGTACTTCTCCACCACTTCTCATCATAGAGCACTTGGCTGCTTCCCACCGAGGTGTTTTTGACTTTTCTGGTCAGTTTTCAGTGGTGCAAGTCTGTAACATGCTGGCTTTATCCAAACACAGACTGACAGCATCAGATCTGACAGTCTCAGTCTTAGCTGCAGAGATGAGAGAGCAGTCAGACAGTCAGACAGACAGACAGACAGACAGACAGGTAGGTAGGTAGGTACCCAGCAGCTTCTTGTGGTCCAGCTTGTGTCGATTCAGTGGACTGGTTCCATACAGCAGAGTGTGGAACTCTGAATGGACAGACTGGATCTCATCCAGAGACGCTTTACGCCCACGAATCCTCTGCTCACACACACAGACGGAGAGAGAGACTGAGTAAGGAGGTTGCACATTTTAAATTTGCACGTAAGAAAAAAAGATAACAGAACGGTTAATTTGGCAATTGCTAGAATTACGTAAGACCTGTAAGAAAAGAACATGGACAATGAAACTTCAGCATACAGACGCAGGGAAGATTTACAGTAAGCAATGATAACACAAGATCTGCTAACTCCACTCGCTTTCTCTAGGAGGTGACTGTTGGCAGTGTGTTGCAGTGCATGCTGGGATAGCCTGCAGTGTGTGCACAAGCCGTGACATTACATCATTGTGGGCGTAGCTCTCCTGTGAGTACAAAGGTCCTGTTTGCAAAGTGTGTGTGTGTGTGTGTGTGTGTGTGTGTGTGTGTGTGTGTGCGCGCATGTGAATACCTCGCAGCGGCCCAGCAGGCCTGTCTCCTGCAGTCTGGACCAGATGCTTTGCACTCTCCCAGCATGCTCTGGGTGGATGTGAGCATTGCCGCACACACACTGATGCTTCAGCATCAGACTGTCATACACAAGCCCTGGAAAGAGAGAGACAGAGAGAGAGAGAGAGAGAGAGGTAGAGAGAGGTGTAAATATTCTCAAGTAAAACTCCAATAATAGCTGAAGGGGTGTAACAAAGCTAGGGCCAGATGCAGGCTGGGTAAAAAAATAGAGAAATAAATAAATAAACAGAAGAAGAAGAAGAAGAAGATAATGGTCTGCATCCCAATTACCCCATTGCAATAACACGTGTGTTAATGGCCTTCCACAATGTATTTTGTAGTACCACATAAGCACCACAAGGTGTCAGTAGCTACGAGGGATATACTGTCTGTGTGACACATGCAGGACATTGACTTTGCCTCAGACAGACATTCTCCCTCACTCCTATCCTTCAAAACCACACTTAAAACTCATCTATTTAAATCTGCCTTTGATCTGTCATCTAGGTTCAAGTCCAGCCAGGGACCTCTGTTGTCACACTCCGTTTCTCTACCCCCACTTCCTGTAGGTTGTCTACAAAAATACACAGTGATAAATATTCATAAATGATGAGGCTTATGTCAATGAAGGTTAGAGGCTGTGTCCCCGGAACTCCTGAGGGGCTTTTAATGTGAAACCAATGAGGGAAGTGTTGAGTAAACAGCAAACAAATGCAGCAAAACGGAAGCAAAACAGAGGATTTCATACCGGAACATCAAATTCACTCGTTAACCAGGGAATTAGCTAAAACACTACTTAAGAATTTATGGTATTTAAGTCACTTCACTTAGTTCATCTTAACTGTCAGCCAACAGAGAGTCAGCTCCCTGTCGCTAGGCAACAGCAATGGTGGCTTGCAGTGGGCGGACTGACGCCACTGATGTCAAAATTTCATCCAATAACGAACCAGATGCGCACACACACACACACACACACACACACACACACACACACACACACACACACACACACACACACACACACACACACACACACACACACACACACACACACACACACACACACACACACACACACACACACACAAACAAACTGACCGGTGGTGAAGAGGTGTTTGATGGGATTGACAGTGGCTGCTGGGGAGGACTGCGCTCTTCCCAGGGGTCTGTGGGGCAGCGAGGACTGGAACACACCCAGCTGCTGCAAGGCCTGACAGGAAGGGGGGAGAGAGAAAGTTATGATTCATAGCAGAGGGATGAATCAGAGATTAGTTCATTCACTGCATGATGGAGGGGAGAGAAAGAGAGAGAGTGTGTGTATAAAACATGACAGAGCACTTCACACCAAACCCCCCTCCTGTGTCTCTCCCTGTCATCACACACACTGAAATTACTATCATTCTAAATGTTGCATACTTTTATAAAAACCAGTGTATGAAAACATGCTCTAAACTCACGTATTGGCTGATTTAACAGACTGATTGTCTGATTGATAAAAAATGGCTGCCACTACACTCTATGTAGTGTTACCCTCCTGTTTAGTTTTCATCATCCTTGGACTGATGCGCCTGAAGTTTCACTGATCACCAACTTCCACTGTGTGTGTGTGTGTGTGTGTGTGTGTGTGTGTGTGTGTGTGTGTGTGTGTGTGTATATGCACACACACACACACACACACACACACACATTCTGTAGTGTCTATATATAGGGGGTGTTGCTGTGCTCCCTGCTGCGAACTGGGTGACTCATCATGTGTGGGTGGACACTAAAACACCACACACACACCCCACACACACACACACACACACACACACACTTGAAGATATACAGACATACAGCAACACACAGGGATGAGTCCAGTGGTTGAGTCACCACCTGGTGATGTCACTGCAGCGTCAACAATTGTGCGTTGTGTGTGTGTGTGTGTGTGTGTGTGTGTGTTTGTCTCTCTGCTCAAGTTGGACTGGACACCTGGCTGCACATTTGTCCATGCTGAAGTTTCTCTTTGTTCTAATTAGCACTGCACATATATGTCACAAAAGATGAAGTGTTGTGCAATTTTATATTCAAATCCCACCCTTTTCTTTTTCTGTAAAATGTCAAAGCTTTCTTCTGAGTAATGACTCATCCTGCACTGCTTATTAAAAAAATACTTAAATGTGATCATGCGTTTTGGATTGATCCATTCAACCCTCTCCTCAAATAAAAGCTGCTTCCTCTTCAAGCACAAACACCCACAGTGGACACGGGTCAGTGCTTTGTATTTTGGATGTGATGAGGCGAGAGAAAAAAAAAGATCACTGACGTGTGTAGGTGAGGGTTGGGAGACAACACGTGACCAGCCCTGCTGATGTTTAAAAGAGTACTCCATCGATTTAGCGACTCACTCCTATAACGCTGTTGCTCTTATGATCTACAGCTTTTTAAAAAAGGATCAAACTGATGCAGCTGCACCAGAGATATGGTCTTCTTTATTCCATGCATTCTTCTTCCTTACTGCCTCCGTTACCCACAATGCAGCTCGACTGAATTCACTTGACTATACAGATTTAGGTGCAGTTTTTAACTCCACACAGGAAGATTTTTTTTTAGTTCAAACTTGCTGACCAATGCCGACTCAAATGACGTCACTTAGATATATAATATTTAACATTTCTGCATTCAAATGCCTATAAACTCAAGATTCAAATTCAACGCGAGAGCTATATGTAGTTGAGCTGTGTACTTCCATTATCCCAAATGTTTCCAACAAAGTTCAAACTCAGAGAAATCTGTCATTTTATTCAGGTAACGCTGCGTTTCACCGGTCGCCTGTCAATGGCGTCATATCCCCTTTGTGCCTGCGTCAGCATTGTGGTTGTCTGCCAGAAGCTGTCATACATTGACTGTTTATCCAGTCTAAAGCCACATTGTTACCATCCACTGTTTAGATCTTGGTGCTTTTTAACTCTAGATTTGAACCGGATGAAGGATTTTAGTCATCAGACGTCTGGATCTTAAGTTATCAGAGAAACAAGCTGAGCTAAGTTAGCAGCAGCTCAGCTCGCAGCCCCTCCGGGACGTCCTCTGTCTGTCAAACAGCGTGGGAGAAACAGTGGTTTTTAAGGTGGAACTGCTTTATTCAGTGTTTTTAGTGGTTTTAATCAGCGAGTCTGTTTGTTTTGGAGAGGAGGAGACCTCTGTGGATCATTGGGCTCCCGGTAGAAACCTCCTGAACCATGAACACAGAAGGAATCCTAACCAGGAGAAGCTGACTGCAATGACGCCAATGGTGGTGAAGACAACATCTCCCATGATCCCACGCTACTTCACAACGTCATCAAACTTCTTTTGTAATTGTTCTGATGTGAGAAACCCCCTAGCAGCATGACGTGACATATTTTACTCCATACACACTAATCAGACTTCACACAGCTCCCTCTGGAGACACAAAAGGCTTTAATCAACCTTTTTCACATGGGCAGTACTGTGGGTTTGTAAGAGCATTTTCACTGTAAACAGCCTCCTACTGCTGCTGCTGGTTGAATGCCACAGTGAGCTGTTAGAGGAAGCAGTGCTCTGTAATAGGGAAACAATCATGATCTCAGTAGTGATGAAAATAATCGTTATTATTTTGGTCATAATTGAGCTGCCATATTGCAGAGTGTGCTGTAAATTTTCTTGGAGTTTGTGAGTACAAAGCACCCCTTTCACATTACACATAGTCATTGTGAATATAAAAACAGTGATTATTGCAGCTTTAAAGTCCACCTCAAATTCCAATTTCTGTCTGCTACAGCATACAAATCACATGTATAGAACAAAGGCTCTCCTTTAAAGGAACAAAAAGTATTCAAAATGGTTATTTTTTCTTTGTTTGGTTGCATTTCATCACTATTCAAACTAGTAAAGAATATGAGCTAATGATTCAAGCACACTAGGTCTTGTCTGTGACGTGAAAATGCACTTGGTCAAATTTTGGCAAACTAACCGCATTCTTTTCATTGAGAGCAGATAATAGGCGTGTTATGTAATGAGCTCACTGAAGTGTGTGTCGTTTCTCTGAAGGAGCAGCACCCAAAAACAAAATACTCAGTCGTGATATGATAGCGCCCTGCAGCTCAGGATTTCTATGTGTGAAAACAACCGTGCAAGGGTGAAAAACACCTGAAGCCATCTCAGGTTGGGACTGAAGTAACAGGCCAACCGTTAGCTGGGATGGGGAGTCAAATAGCTAACAAACAGCAACATCTGTAACAGAGCAAACACAGCGAGACGGAAAACAGCAGGAGGTCGGCCGATGATGCATTTGTGTGAATCATCCCTCTGTGGGATGATGCTGCGTGATCAACATTGTCCTGGGTTTCAGACTGACCTGGGATCTTAAGAGAGTTCAACATGCCCCCAACATCCCTATCAGCTCATTTGTCATCATCACGTTCTAAATGTGCTCATTTCATCAGATTTTAAAGTGGATGTTAAGTAATACTAGAAAGAGGATCATACAGTTGAATTGTCAGTGTTTGGTTTTATTTGCAGTTGTATTACTACAACTTGGAATGGCAGAAGCTGGACCTGTCAGCCATTAAACTTTTACTTTCAGTTAATTATTTCAAAAATGTATTGATTATTTTTTGCTAATTATTTCAATTACGTTTATTACGGAAGTCCTGGTGGAACAGGTGGATAAAAGGGTTTTGCCAAGACAATCTTTCTTTCTTATTTTTTTTTCATTGGTGAAACAAGTAAAAACTAAAGATTATGGCAGTTAAAAAAGGGTTGTTGTTGTAATACTCATTTCAGCCACAAGAAGCTGAAGAGCACCACTTCCACATGTTCTAAACAAGAGTAAAAACAATCTTGTCTTACTTGAACCATCTTTCAAGCCTTTTCACCATTTTCACCATAGTACAGCAGATTAGCGATGACTAAAATACATTTCCAGCCAAAAGAAAGAAATTACAGTAATATTACATAACTTTTTAACACAGAATATCTGTACCTTATGATTAAAGTGCAGAGAAATTAAAACTCCCCTGAAAAAAAAACATGAATGCTTTTAGTCCTGTTTAGATCATGGAGTAGTGGTGCTCTTCAGTCTCTTGTGGTCGAATTGAGTATTACAATTTTTTTTCACTTTTTTGACCTGAAAACAATTCAGATCCGACAAAAAAAATTTTCCTCACTTGCCACTCAGGGCTTCCGTAGTTTATTCATTCATTTCATGTAATTATTCAACCGTTTATTCATTTCATTTTGCCAATTATTTCGAATGTTTAAATATTACCTCCGTCCTCTTATTTAACTAATTACTTAGTAATTACTTAATTATATATAAATGCTAACTACTTGTGATGCACTCTCAATGGCAGTGTGTGGCTTCAGTGTTTTACAACTGGCTCAGGCTGGCGGGAGGTGTGCCCTGTGGAGTCAACCTATCATAGCTGGTAGCTTACTAGATATTGTGACAACAAACTCACTAAAGATTAACATCACACCAATGTGTAACCCTAGCTAGAAGCTTGCCTGGCTCCTAAACACAAATATGTGTATAGATTTTGTTTTTATCATAATGCATCACAATTTCTAATAATATAAAAATACATAATTCATGTCCCCCGTGGTTGAGGCAGAAGACCACCCACCTAGAGTCGAAGGGTCTGTCGTAGGTTTCTGCCTCTTAACAGGCAGTTTTTCCTTGCCCCTGTCGCCTAGTACTTGCTCATGGTGGTACTGTTGGGTCTCTGTAAATAATGTTATAAGGAGTTCGGTCTGGACATGCTCTATTTTGAAGTGTCCTGAGATAACTTCTGTTATGAATTGGCGCTATACAAATAAAATTGAATTGAAATTGAATTGATGATACACTGGGAGTTCAGCAGCACATTCAGTCTCTGCAGAAAGAGGCATTGCGTTCACACACAAACCTGCGTGTAGCTCCCCCTCTCCTCTTCGTCGCCCTCCCTCAGTTGGATGATGTCCTCTTCCTCTTCCTCTTCATCCAGCTCGCTCTCTGTGCTCTCCCCTTTCACATGCACACCCCCGTGCTCCTCCTCCCCCTTCACATGCCCACCAAGTCGCTCAGATGAGGGTGTGCTGTCGTCTGACCCCTCCTTCTGAAGCCTGATTGATCGGAATAAGAGGGCAGACTTTAAAAGAACATGAAGGTGTTTACAATAAGACATATAGATATAGGTAAAGATTAATCAGTCATCTGTACTGACTGATTGGCTGTTAGAAATTCCACACCTGTGAAGGCTTGTCCCTCCGTCGTCCTCCTGCATGTCATTGGTCTCTGTTAGCTCCTCCTCTGTCTCCTCTGGGTGGGTGGGCGGCGGCCTGGGAAGATCTGCCCCCTTCGATAGCATCTACACATAAAAGGTAATGCTAGTGTGTGAATGTGTGCACGAGTGAATGAGTGTGTGTGTGTGTGTGTGTGTGTGTGTGTGTGTGTGTGTACCTTGTAGTGTTTCTCCAGGAAGTGCTGGTGTTGCTGCTGGACCACCAGCTGCTGCAGAGCCTGGGGGGACTGGGGCAAAGGTGCACTCTGGGTCCGAGCTAATGGTCGATGGCGAGGCAGCTTGTTGACCGCTCGCATGCCGCTGGACACGCCTCTCTCTGCTGTAACCAGCGGCGACTGGCTGTACATGGGGACTAAGTGGGGGGAGGGTCATAGCAGAAAGACAATGAGTTGAATACTATGAACTATGGACACTACTGTGGATGTTAGCATAGACTTTATTATATTTGTGCATGTGTATACATACCAGCTAGCATAGCAGTCTGTTGTCTGGCCTGCTCCAGCAGTAGTACATGTTGCAATAATGAGGAATGGGCAGAATGAGAGCTGGGGGGCGGTGTCTCCACATCATGCGCCACCCCTGCAAAGTAACATTATTAAGTAATTTCTAGTTCTGAATAATCCAATAAATTAATAATCAATCAAATACAATTCAATGTTTTCCCCATACAGAAATTACATTGTATCAAACTTGTATTTACAAACATATTTAAATACAGCATATATAATATAATCCTTAAAGCTGCAGTAGGTCATTTTCATTAAACTAACTTTTTGTCATATTTGCTGAAACTTTCACTATATCCTGAAAGTAGTAAATGAGACAGATAATCTGTGAAAAATCAGGTTCCTAATGGCATCTGTAAGAATCCACCAGGCCTGACCTTAAACAACCAATCAGAGCCAAGAAAGATAATTCAATTTTGAATCTCATTCCCAGGTCGTCAAATACAGATGCTTTGGGACCCTGTGAATGACACTAAACAATCAACTATCTTAAAGCCTCAAACCCAAAGCGTCTTTATATCTTTCTCAGTTCTGATTGGTAATTGGTAAAATGACAGAAACCTATTTTTATAAAAAAGTTAACCACTGCAGCTTTAAATATAATGATTAAATTATTAATTAATAGCTATGGTAAAGCTTACCTGCAGGTAGAGAGGATGTGGAAAGAAACTTCCCTGTTAGAGCTCCCCCTCCTCGCAGTGATTGAATGGCTTGGCGCTCAGCCTCTTGTTGGGTAGACAGCTTCTGGGGGGGCTGTAGAGGAGGCATTACCATGGTTACCACACAGACAAGTCTAAGTAACCACCACACAATCACTAGTGTGGTCAAAGTGGTAATTGCAGGTTATGTGACATCCTTGGTCCCAGCTTGTAAAACTCATTCATCACAAATTAAATGCAGTAAAACTCAGGAGACACTTTCTTAATTTCAGAAAGATTCTTTCTCTAATACTCTCTCTCTCTCTCTCTCTCTCTCTCATATATATATATTTATATATATATATATAAACACAGATATGATATGTATAGTGTGTATTTGCGCATTTACAGTATGTGAATGTGTGTGTGTTGCATTGACCCACCGTGATGTGTGTGTTGGCAGGTAGGCCCAAGGAGATATTCGGCAAGGAGGGCGAGGTGTAGAGATTCAGAGGACTCAATGTTCCATCAGCCCCCAACGTCTGATGGAGAGATCTCAGCTGCAGACAGACAGACACGCATGCAGACTGGTTAGTTTAGAGTAGTTGAGGAGGTGGTCTGATGGTTATACACAATATATCCATCCAAGTTGCTTTGGTAACCACTGCTTTTAACATCTACTGTAAGCACAGCATCTCTCTTAAATCACATCTTTGGACATGTTTGCTTATATGCATATAATAACTACCTTACATCCTAATCAAACACAAAACCATTACCAAAATTGTCCGTTTGTTTCCCCCAACTTCCTGTTTACACTCCATTTCATATGAAAGCTAATCTGCACATTCTGGGATAAATGACAACACAAAAACACTCCAACAAGCAAACTTCCACAACTTGTTAACTTTTTTTTTGGCCTTTATTTCACAGAGAGAGATGGACAGGAAAGGGGGGCAGAGAGAGGGGATGACGTGCAGCAAGGGGCTGCAGGTCGGATTTGAACCCGGGCCGCTGCGTATATGGGTCACCAGCTCTATCGACTGAGCTTACCGGGAGCCCCACAACTTGTTAACGTGATCAGTCAAATTAAATGAGTCTTGATAGGTTTAAAGCTCACTCCTTGCTCAGATGACATAAGTCCATAGTCTTCTTAAGGAATTATTTGGTCAGTTGGTCCTTGTATTTTATTCATAATAAACACCTTGATAATTTGTCATCTTTTTCTGCTGTTACTTGTGGTATACCCCAAGGTTCCATTTTGGGCCCCATTTACTTTGCATTATATACGTTTCTGCTGCGACCTGTTTTTAGAAAAATATATCATTCTGTATAATTGCTACACTGACGACATGCAGCTATATTTCAGCTTTAAACCGAGTGAAACACATTATGTTTAGTCTCTTCTAAGCTGACAAAAATATTCATCAGCTTAAGGAAAGTAAGACAGAGGTCCTCATCATCTGTCCTGCAAATTCCACTAGTGGTTTGGGCAACTTTCTGCAGTGCAAAACCGAACGCCTTTACCTTAAGTTTAAGTCTAAAAGCAGAAAACAGAACCAAATACAGAACTGCGCTGCAAAAACAGAAAACTCAGGATGCATGATCCAATTATCAGGACAGATAAATTATCGGCCGATAATGGGAAATTTATATTATTATGCATTATTTCAATTAATAAATTATAGGCGATAAATTATAGGCCCATAAAAAATACTTCTTATATCATTCAATAGGCTTTATGCTCTATTATGCTATTAAAAGCCAAAGTATGTTTGTGAAGTTTACAATGTCATTTACTAAAAAGAATACATGAACACTCACTGAGTGAACTTTTTGTCAGTTAGATCTGGTTAGGTCATGAAATCATCTTTTCTCACTACATCTAAGCCTTTCTTACCGTCACATAAAACACAACCAAATACAGAAATGTGCTGCGAGTTGCACAGAACACAATGGAAATGAGTAACAAACCCCTCAAATCTTCAATTAGCACTCACTGTTACCATTACATGTTCCCAAAGTCCCATCTATCACCATTTTTAAATTCCAACTTACCATCCGCCTTTATCACAACTATAAAGTTGCTTTAAATTTGACTGTTTCAGTTATTTACTTATTAATTACTGTTCTGTTTTGATGTATTTTAATTTTCTCTGTACAGCACTTTTGAGAACACTTGTTTTATAGATGCAGAAATAAACTTGACTTTCTTGAATCAGAATGAACTGTAGGTGGCGAGCTCGAGCTGTGTGTACAGAATGGAGAAATGAATGGAGCTGCATGAGTCAGTGAGTGTAGTTTTAAAGTAAAGTGTGTGTGTACCTCAGTCTGTATGTTGGGGACCGATCCCGTGTTGCCATTGGCGATGGCCGAATTGGAACTGTTGGGACTGCTGGGACCTGAACCTGGGGCGCTGTTGCAGAGAGAGGAAACTGGCCGAGAGAAACACAGAAAAAGAGAGAGATGAGTTCATCTTCAAGCCATAAAATGTCTAATTTATGGTAAAACAGTGTATTTATAGTGAGTTTACACGCTACACTAAACACACTGCTGCTGAGTTTTTCTGTCTATTTTTAACCATACATTTCTCTCGGAATGAAAAACATTGTAACGTGAGTATAAACAGTGTGTGTTCACCTGATATCTCTATAGCTCTCTTCTTAAAGGTGCTGATAACAGTTCCATCCTTTCTGCGAAGCAGTGGAGAGCTCCGCCTCTCTGCCACCTTCTGCTTCAACCGTGAACGCACCTTCAGGTTCGGCTCTGAGACTGGAGACACGGGGGAGAGGGAATGAAACCTGCTCAGCTTAGAGCCCCCCCCCAAAAAAAATCAACCAACACTTTAACCCTTCTTTGTTACATTGCAGTCTGTTTTGAATAAAGGCAAAAAAAGAAAACACATTCATGCTAACACAGTTGCTTTTGTGTATTGTTGCTTTTGCCCTTTTAATCTTGTGCTGTATCTCTGCTATTGTTTGTCTCATTGTGAGGTGCAGTGTTTTGTTTGGCAGAGTATTTCATGGGGGTATTTTAAGGTGCCTGGTGATTTGCCAACACGAGACTATCAGGGCGGATACAGGATCGCAGGCTGTCTGGTAATCCTACATTACATTTTGGCCGGCTGCACATTTTGGCTGGCTAGTTTGCTTGCTGGATGAGCAGCTACAGCAAGTCAAGGTTGAGGTCAAGGAGCAGGAAGAGGAACAGGCATCCATGTTTTATTGGTTTAAGCTGCCTGAACAGTATCCAGCAGTGGGGAATTCAGGAAAACCTGGATGTTTAGTTATTGCTTACCCTCTAACCTTTTGGCATCAGGGCAGCCAGTAACTGATCTGACAGAAAAATGTGCATGAAGAGATAAGATCCTTAACTCCTCTTAAATGCACTTCAATTTATAAAGTGAGCATACATTCTGTAAGAAGAAGAGGTGGTCTCCAATTACCGCTATTGTGGGGAAAAAACTAAAGCTTGTTAACCTAAATGCATTTATTTTGTAGTATTTAAAATGTGTACATTGTTTTACTGATGAGGTAAAAAGTGAGAGCCTTAACTTTTCCTAAAAACATATCTCATAAAGTGAGTGCACATTCTGTTTGATTTCCTGAGAGAGAAAAAAACCTTCAATGCCTTTATTTAGTCTCATTTATAAAGTATTTAAAATGTGTATTGTTTTACTGATGATGAACTTGTGATTGATCAAATGTGTATTTCTTCAAAATGGCAACTTTACCTGTTCAAGATAACATGACGTGATGCAGAAACGGCAGTAAAATGGTCAGGAACGATCGTTATTCTCACTGTGAGCTGGGTCGCCATGGTTTGTCATGCAGTACAACACTTGCTCGCAATGGTGGCCAGCGTTTATGGGACATGCTTTCATGGCCTGGCTGTTCGGCCTCAGCGGTTCAAATTAAGTAGAATCTATTTTATTTTAGAGAAAATTCATCTTCTAACCTATTAGCTTTTTAAAAGAAGAGGTAAAAGTGTAAGTGCTCGTTACACGTACACTCAACAATTACCAACCACAACAACAAATATAAATTGGATCATTAATAACAGGCTGGATGCATGTAGATGTGACCGTCTGCACCATTTCCAAAATAGACGTTCACTGCGAGTGGTGTGAAAAGCTTTTAACTGACATGGGAGCAGAAATGAAAAGGGAACATTTTCTGTCTGCTAAACCCGCTTTGAACTGTCACACTGCTCGATTATGGAAAAAATCATAATCACGATTATTTGGGTCAAAATTGAAATCACGATTATTCAAATGATTATTTTTTTAGACTTCAGAAACATGCTGCATTTATTGGACATTTGTCAAAAACACTTTGCAAGGAAGTCCTCAGTTACACTTTCCTTTCCCCATAAACATTTGTAAGTCTCCTTTTTACATTGACAGTCATAGTGCACTCTTGCAATCTCTACAAAAAGTTATAGCCTCAGTCTTTTAGTACGACATCATGTATGTAGCTGGGTCGCACAAATACATTATACTGCCATTATTTTGACAGATATTGCAATATGATTCACAATTACTGTGGGAATCATCATGTTTGCATTACAAATTTAATTTTCACTCAAAAAACTATCATGATGATGTAACATTTTTTGGGGTCTGTACTAAATAGACATGTTTTCTTCTTCAGTATTTGTATTATTATTATTAGTAGCAGCAACAATGCTCCATATTCACTTGTACATTGTGAACACAAAATTCATATTTGTACACCATGTCAATTATAATCATGTACAACTATTACTTAAGACTGGCTGCCAGGTATGCAGAAATTAGTCCAGTCTATTTTTAGTTATATATCGAGCAGAATTAAATTCAGGAGTTCTTCAAACCAAAGTGAGACATCAGGTGGTTTATCACCAATCCAACTTTGAAGAATACATAACCTTGCAGAATACCAACACATTCTCAGTAGATATTTAGACATGTTCTCTTAAATCTGGGGAACAAGATTTGTCTACAGTGCTTTATCCTAATGCGGTTTGTCACACATTTTACCTCTATAAAACAACGCAGCTTCTGCGATTTGCATACTGCATTTGACCATTTCAGTAATATTGCAATTAATTGTGCAGCCTTATATGTAGTCACAAAGTGGTTAACGACTGCAAACATTAAAAAGAGCCACAGGTGGCATTTCAAACCAACTCATGGAGCTAACATTGGCTTAATTCACTAACGTGTAGCTCATAAAGTCTGAGGTCTTCTGTATGAAATTTAAGGAACCCTTGAGTTTAGTTTCCATCTAAATCTTTGTGCAAATTTGAAAAAAAAATTATATCATATCTGCAGAAAAAAGCAAATGAATCAACTACTGTTCTTGGCACAACGGAAGCTAGATGAATGTTTAAGTCATATGCTTCATGTACGTCATGATTTATTCGATTAGTCTGTTTCCACTGTACTGTGTTGCATTATGTTTTTACTGATACACAACAATTTGTGTCTGTGTGTGTGTGTGAGTGTGTGTCTTCTTTAGGTTTGGGCTACCTCTTCCCTAGTGAGTCAGACTAACACTGACTCACACACACACACGCACACATATATATATATATAAACACACCACACTCCACCTCCACAGAGTCCTTTGTCAAACGACTTTTACATGACAAGTGATAAAACGTGTACACACACACACACACACACACACACACACACACACACACACACACACACACACACACACACACACACACACACACACACACACACACACACACACACACACACACACACACACACACACACGTCCTCCCTCTGCCTCAGTCTGTCTCTCCTACCTGTCTTGCGGAGTGGGAAGTCGTCTTTGCCCTCGTAGTTCCCCAGCAGTGGGGGCAGTTTGTAGGAGGGAGGAGTTCCCGGGGTGTTACTCTGCGGGGGAGAGCCTTGCTCCAGGGAGGTGTGCTGGGCTCCCCTGCACACACACACACACACACACACACACACAGACACACACACACACGGGAAAAGTGAGTTAGCTAGCTGATAAAACAGTCACAATATGAAGTTATGAAGTGTTTCAATAAAGTGTTTTGCTGTCAACCTGCTCAGTGTACTTGTACTTCACTTAGTCATTTCCTACATTTCCTAGAATGCCTTTCCTGTTATTTCCTGTTACTGTAAGTCTTGAAACATTTCCTCTGTGCCTCTTCTTGGACGGGTTATTGTTGCTGAAAAGTGGTGCAAAATGAATTGAGAAAAGTTTTGCAAGGACATCCGAACCTGACATTGTCATTTCCTGTTGAAATTAACTGGACATCATAACCCTTTTCAGACATGGAGACTTTCATCAATCTGTTAGAGTGGTGGCTTTCTGTCATCCAAACATACATGTCTGATGTGTATATGTGTGTTGCAGCCTTAAACACATGCAGCATCATTACTATAATTAACCTGCTGTTGTGACTAAACACATGCAGCATCATTACTATAATTAACCTGCTGTTGTGACTTTCACACAAGAGTAACTCATTCAGACACGAGACCATGTAAAACTGCCATCACACTTATGTAACGAGGACACGTTTAATATCTGTTAATATTGGTAACTTCCTATCAATATATTGTATCGCTTACTGGATCCATTTATTTATTTTAATTTGCAAATGTATTTATTGTTTTAAACCACACGAGTTTCTTGCCAATGTTTGCTTAAATTCTACTGTGTAAATGGAATATTGACATACAATATTATTAGTATGAGATTAAAGGACCAGTGTGTAGGATTTCGTGGCATCTAGCAGTTAAGCTGCAGATTGCAACCAAATGAAACCGCTCGCCATTTAAGCTTGTAGAAGAAACCATGGGGGCTGCAAAACAAAAACAAAAAGTTCCTATCTAGAGCCAGTGTTTGGTTTGTCCCTTCTGGGCTACAGTAGAAACATAGCAGTTCAACATGGCGGACTCCGCCAGAAGAGAACCCACTCCCTCTGTAAATAAAAACAACTCAGTTCCTGTATTCAGGTGATTATACACTAATGGAAACATAGCTATGAATATTATATTCCATTTCTGACAATAGATCCTCCTAAATGTTACACCCTGGACCTTTATCATTCAGTTCATATGTAACCTTGGTAACTACTTACCTAAATTATTAACATAAACACAACACAATTGGTGCTATTTTCTGCATTTCAACTTTTCCCCATGTCTACAACTCATCATCATAACGTCCACTCTGCAGATAAAAGTCCTGCTCTGAGGATGGAGTGTTTTTAGTCTGTTTTTAACTTTCACTGTTGAGCATGTTAAGCACATCATCAGTCATATTAGCTCTTCCATGCAGTTCTTGGCCCGTATCTATCAAGCGCGTCAAAGTAGCAAATCAAGCACAACTGGCTAAGAGTGATGCATTTTTGGTCCAACTTTTAAGACTAGCAGTGTCCTCACAACCTTAGGCTTTACTGCAGCAGGGACAACAGAGCTATGCAACAGTGATGATTCTGTCAGAGCCGACGATTTCAGAAGTCACAAATAAAACTTTGATTGCGTTTATGTGCCTCATAATGCACATGACGAGGCTCCTCCTCTTTTTATTTTAGTTAGTACACAATATCGTTTCAGATAGTTTTTGTTTTTATTCCAGTTAACCAAAATATTTTTCACAACCAGTTTTTTTGTTTAGTTTTACTTTACTTACTATAATAACCTCAGTGTATACCGGAATGGGTCTATTGAAGGGCAGTGTACTCAACCAACACTCTCTGCGTACTCAGGCAGCAAGAAGAAGCCACAACTAGCAAAACAGATTTTTGTGGGGGGTGTGCACATTAAACACGCAGTCTTACATTTGAGCTGAAAAGTCAGTACAACAGAAATTGGATGATTCCTATAAAATAACTTTTTAACTTTTTATTTTTTCGTAGACTAGGCTGGAGACCATGCTGCCTCGAGCTGGTTAAATCAGCAACCCATATGCATGTAGCAGGGAAGTAAATAGTAAATGAACTGTACTTATAGAGCGCCTTTCTAGTCTTCTGACCTCTCAAAGCGCTTTTACACTACATGCCACATTCATCCATTGACACACATTCATTAAGGCCATCACAACAAGAAACTAATTCATTCACATTCAATTTGGGTTTCAGTATCTTGCTCAAGGACACAGTGGGAGAAGCCAGGGATTGAACCACTAACCATCTGTAGATCAGTGGATGACCCGTTCCACTCTACCTCCTGAACCACAAGTTTCAGCACAATACCTAGGAGTGATTCTCATTCTAAAATGCTTGGGCCGGGTTTAGAAACCCCTCAGTGAGTGCAGAAGCTGCTTGTTTTAGCCGAGGCTGGATTACAAAACTGTTAAAGCCTCACAAGTGTAATGACCTGTTCCGAATTCAAAATATGCTGTCTATAAACAGAAGTAGTTTCCCTTGTGATCCAGCAGACGGCGCTCCACTATCAGCTTGACCCGTGGCATGCCCTTCTGACCTATCAGTAAACTAAAGCAGTAATGATCTGTTGTTTACTACTAAAATGGAGGACGCCAGCGAGCAAAGCATGGAGCAAAGACGTCCTGAGTGGACAATCGCAATCTGAGAAACAGTTCTGTCGACCTTATACAAAGCAGCTGTCTAACTCTACAACCACAGAGAATCTGCGACTCACTTCGAGTGAGGCAGCGGAGCGGAGGGACCACAGATGAGCGGAGTTTCTGGCCTGTTGCCAGATGCTCATAAAAATGCCACCACCGATAAGAGTGAGATTTATATGCAAGGATTAGTGGATATGTGGCTTATTGGGGTGGTAAGAGAGAATTATCCTGTAGTATAGTTTTTACATGTACTAAGTTTTTATTGTTTATAGATCATTCATCTGAATTCATTCAAACAGATTGTGTGTCACTTGAAATTTGTTCAAATGGGATTTTTGGAAAAATTGACAGCACTAGTTCACACCAGGGAATGAGTAGGGCTCACACTCTTCATTCATACAGTACAAAAGACGCATTCAAATTGATACATTTACAATGTAGAGGACTTATGGACAATATGTAATGATACTGTGATGTGACAGATCTGTCCAGGGACAGGTTGTGTTCTCTGCAATCCTCACCAGCACTTTGGGGAGAAGGAATGGTTCAGTCCGCCAATGCCAGGTTCTTTCTTACTGAGAAGGAACTCCTGGAGCTTCAGCTTCACCTCCGTACTGGCAATGGCACCTTCCAAAACACAGAGAGAAACAGCAGTCAGGACACTTCACTGTCTTTATACTGACGGCTTGTAGACAGAACAAACCTGTGCATAGCATGGTAAGCAGCAGCAGCGTAACTTACTCTCTTTGCCTTTCTCCTTGTTCCTCAGCAGCAGCAGTTGTTGCTCCAGTCGATGTTTCTCCTGCTCTTCGTGTCTTTGTTGCTCTAGTTTCCTCTTCTGCTCCAGCTCCTGCTGCCGCTTCGCTGCCAACAGCTCCTGTTGTTGCTTACACACACACAAAAACACACACGGACACAGTCAGTATGGAGGGTGTGTGTCCAGGTTAACTAGTCAGCTTGTAGGTTCAGGAACTAACTACCTGACTAGCTACCTTCAGGTGCTCCTGAAGCTGGACCTCGTGTTGTCTCGTGAGCACTTCGTGTTTTTTCTGGAACTCTGCAAACAGCAGCTGTTTCTGGAGTTCCTGCTGCTGTTTGAGGAGGACAAGTTCCTGCTGGAGCTGCTGCTCCCTCAGGGTTGTGTCCACCGCCGCCGCACCCCCAGACAGAGACCCCACCCTGGGTTCTGTCCGCAGGTCCACTGGGCCTCCACCTCCGGGGCCTTCTCCTGGACCCCCACCTGGAAAAGCGGTCAACTTTACATCCACTGTCTGCTGTCTGTTTTTAACTGTCCTTTGTATTTATGACTGCAAGTATCAGCAAAAGTGGGTTGAAAAAAAGCACTCAGTGTTTGGATACCTACTTAACTGGCTTCTCTGGGGTCAACTAACACAGTGGGTGCCCACAAAGTAATTAGTCCAAACTTTCTGGATCCATTGTGAAATTGTTGAACCACTAAAAAGGACCACTCGAAGCAGTTCAAAGGACCCCTACATCCTACAACTAGACCACCAAAAGCATTGGACAGGGCTTCCAACAGCACTATGAATTTAACCCTAAAGGCCGAAGTGAGCTGACCCACCGATATCAGCTGATATATTGGAATGAATGATCTATTGGTTTGGCTCTAGAAGACAACACTAAGGAAGTTAAAGAATGAACCTATCAGGACGTCACCCATTGGTTTGTGGAGTATTGTTAAGAGGCTTCAAGTTTGGCATTATGGTCGTTGCCATCACAGTTTATCCGAGCCAGCAAAGGTAACGTACTGTGAGTTGAGCTGCTCTTATTGGCTGCGCAGTTTCCACTCATTTGTAACAGGAAACAATGGCGGCTCTCCAGGTATTACAGCTAAACAGTACACTAAAATATGTTTCTGAAACAATTTTAAGTGAGAAATAGTCAATGCAGTAACAGATGCCCTAAAGCATACCCTGCCTATGGTCTATTTTACTCTTTACATAGAATGCAGGTTTAAGACACTTATCGTGTTAGCTTCACTTCGCAGACCTGGAAGCTCTGTCCACTATATATACTGCCAGAGAAATGAATGTAAACACGGCGAAGAACATAATACAGCCTTAACATGGATGATACATCCTTGTGGTAATGACGGGGTGCCATTACTGGGTGAAACTGAAACGGCTTTATGGAACTTGTTCCACATATGCAGCAATAAACAGACTTTGATAAAATCAGTGGAGTTCCCCTTTAAGTAACTCTCAAACCCACCCACAGACCCTTAGAATCCCCTAATACTTTTAGACACTTTTAGGAGGCAATCGAGACACTAAATCAAACCCCTTTTTAAGACATGGAACCTCCCCAACACACACACACACACACACACACACACACACACACACACACACCAAGGACTCTTAGAGGACTCCCTACTCACCACCCTCTCCACCTCCTCCTCTCTGCTCGCTTGCTGTTCCTCCTGGGCTCTGCATGCCCGATGGGAGGCTGCTCTTCACCTCCACTACTGCACGGCAGAGAAAGAGAAAGAGAAAGAGAAAGAGAGAGAGAGACACAGAGAGAGAGAGAGCGATTGATTAGTCTGGAAAATGTTGTCAGACCATTACATCATTCATTGCATGCCCCCCCCCACACACAGAGGCGGTTCCCATTTCATTCAGATGAGCTGTGATAGTGTTGTAAGAAGTGAGGAACACAGCGTCCTGCCACCTAAAAATAGCCACAAGCCTAGCATTAGCCTAGCATTGGATAGCACTGACTTACAAGTGTTACCTTGGCATTAGCCTAGCCTATACTCAGTGGGGCTAGGCAAAAGGACACTGTGGAATATGTTAACATGTGCCACACATATATTCACAGAGACAAATGATCAGAGAGGTCTGCTGTTATTTATAGCAGTGTGGCGGAAAGAAGGAAGAAGGAAGAGGGGATTGCAGGAAAAGCCAGTGCATTACAGAAATCAGTGGAATCAGAAACGTTAAACTGTAAACGAGTCCACTCAATCAGGGAAGAAATGCACCGCCTTGCACTGATCTGGATTTGTGGCCTCCACTTGTGCTAATCAGTATGACAGATTAATATTGATTTCCTGCTTCAGGCACCAGAGTGGCGTTAGCTGACTTTCACCTCATGAAATGAAAGATATGGAACTAATCGATGCAATAATTCATTTTCATCATTTCAAATTTGTCAACAGCAATAAAGTTTCAGCCTATAAAGTGTAGTGTTTGGGGAAATTCCTTGAAGATAGGTGGGAAAATCTGGTAGATGGTGCCCTAAAAAACACAGTATGTTTGGACTATTGTTGCAAAATATATGTATTTTGATTATACTTCATTATACACTCTCTAAAGTCAAGTTTCTGTCCAAATTCAATTTCAAAATTACTGAATTTCTAAAAATCTGCAAAAGAAAATGTGATTGCATGTTTCCATCCACTACTGTAATGCAAATATTTGAACTGGGCAAATATTAAAGGATCAGTGTGTAGGATTTAGAGGCATCTAGTGGTGATGTTGCATATTGCAACTAACTGAACACCGCTCTCATCTGTATTTGACGACCTAGGAATGAGAATGGGCTGTGATGTGTGGGGGAAACTAGGATTTTAGACATGTTTTGTTGGTTTTTTGTGTGTTGGATTGCAGATCACTTGTATTACCGCCCATTTCTAACCACGAGGGAGAAACTATGGTGGCTGTGAAATGTGCAAAAAATGTGAACAGCCCCATCTAGAGCCAGTAGAAACATGGTGGTTCAACATGGCAGCCTCCACAGAGGGCGACACGCAGAGTCTGTGGATTAAAACGGCTCATTCTAAGGTAACAAAAACACAACGATTCCTATATTCAGGTGATTATACACTAATGAAAACATACCTATGAACATTATATTCCCTCTCCACCAGATCCTTCTAAATCTTACACACTGTACCTTTAATTTGAGTATTTTATGCAAGTTTATATTGTTTATACAGCTATTTTAAAATATCTTGTTTTGGAAAGGAAGCAATAATAAAGTTGTTGGCATATCAATTCTATTTTTAAGTTCTGTTTTTATTACGTTGCAGTTTAAAATGTTTGTTTAAAAAGTTAAAAAATATACATTCTGATTCCTTCATATATTGGACCTTTTTGTAGGGCCAAAAAAACCAGCGATCATGTATTCTATGTACTTCTGACAGCAGAATCAGAACCACTGTAAACCTATATAAAGATGCAGTCATGTGAAAAAAAGAAATAAAAATGCTGGGATGTACCGTGACACTGTTACAGGCCAGAAAAAATACAATGACACACAGTTTTCATCATACCGCCCAGCACCACTTTCTATTTAGCCAAGAGAAAAAAACTTTTTGTCACAATTTTTTCTTGAATTTCTGACGTTTTTTCTCATTTATTTTGGGGGGTGGTTAGACAGGCATAGGGGGAACCTCTGCTACAAAGAGTATATTACCGGTATGTATTTCTCTGACTGATATGCCACGGTGTGTTCAATGGCTCTATGCTGTCTATGCTTATAACCTTGAATAAAAAAAAAAAGTTTTAATAAAGAACAAAACAACAAATTTATGGTGTTTCCACTCTGGTTTTTATGCAAAGATTTTCCATGCGTATAAATACAGGTGGATGGGGATGGAAATACACTTTCTGTGTGTGGTTATTCAGGTTTTTACAGTATTCGTGCATAAGCTACAATGCTAAGACTCTGCAGCACTTAGATCGGAAGCTCCTATCAGCTTAGCTGCTCCAATCAGCTTACACTGATCACTTGTGAGTGTGTGAGAGAGAGAGGGAGACAGAGAGTTTGAATGACGTCATTTGGAGCCTTCCTTTAAGTTGGCTTTTGGTAGTACAGAGAACCATCAGGTTCACACACTGCCTGACGGGGGAGGGACAGACAGGGGCTTGAGATTGGGGTGGGGGGAGGGGTCTCAGCAAACCATCACCATCTCCACCTATCAGTGTGATCAGGCTACTTCCTGGAAACGTGTTGCGACCTCAGTGTATTACCTGTCTGCTGGCCAAGGAGGACATTCAATTAGGGCTTACCTACAGTGCAGTCTGACCTACGACCTGTCCATACGAAGGTACTCTAATTGGTCAGCTCGCGCTCTTTGGCACGGCCTTTCTGCTTTTGCATCACGTGGGTCCTAAGCTAATCAAACGCCAACATCCACAATAAGGCCAAGCTCATTAGCTCTGTCTTGGAGGATGTGACTAATTAGAGGGGGTAAGATTTCACAATTTCAAATCTTTAGTCACAACCTGACCTCTGACCTTTCTGAGCTCAGATTTTCAGACTAAATAAAACGATTATAATAATTATTTTTCCCTTTTACACACACGTGCAAAGACGCCATCTAGTTTCAGGTTTGCTGTTTTGTGACCGTTAGCTGTTGCAAGAAACAGTTGGTAAAAATCCCAAAGACAGAGTTGGGGATAAACAAGGCTGTGTGTGTGTGTGTGTGTGTGTGTGTGTGTGTGTGTGTGTGTGTGTGTGTGTGTGTGTGTGCGTATGCATATGTGTGCAGCCACTCTCATCTAAATTACCTAAACAAATATTCTGGCGTTTCACTGTGACGCACGTGTCTCCCCTTCCACTACAGCACACACACTGTCCCTGTGTGAGTGTGTGTGTGAGAGACTGGTCTGTGAGTGTGTGCACAACAGTCCGTTTGGCAAGAGCACAGCATTCCACAGCAGCCAGCGTCTGACGTCAAACTGAAGACATTTATAGTCTGGTAAACACACACACACACACACACACACACACTCACACTCACACTAACGTACAGTCTGACAAAGAGGCAACATTTCAGCCGGTCATATCAGCCTCCAACTGAACCAAACACAGTAATTCATGCATCAGGACAGATGCAGTAAAAAGACTGAAAAGACAGACTGTGCATCCAGTCTGTCCAGTCAGTGAATCCTGGTAAAAATGAACACAGGCTGGTGATTATACGTTGGTGCTAATATGAGTCTGTGTAGGCAGAGAGGACTTCAAATCCCTGACACAGACTTTTTCACATAGTGGGCTAAAATATTTTATGTAGAGTTATGAATGAAGCTTAGAGTTCGGCTCCAGGCTTGCACTGGTTGGGCGTCCCAGTAGTGCTCTGTAAGGCAATCCTCCTTAAACCCGTACCAAAACAACAAGTTTTTTATAGGGCTGCAATGTTTATTTCTGTTTCCAATGAATCTGCCAATCACTGTCCCGATCAATGGGTCAATCGTTTGGTCCATAAAATGTCAGAAAATAGTTTCAAACAAATGTCCGTCACAGTTGCTTCAAGCCCAAGGTGACACCAACAATCTGCCTGTTTTGTCCAACACCCTAAAAATATCCAGTCAACCAGCACATAAGACAAAGAAAACTGCTAACTGCTGTTTTTCCAGGTGCACCATCTTATGGAGTGTCATGGCGATTGTTGAGATATTTAAGTCTGGACCAAAGTTAAAAGGATTAATAAATGATCAAAGAAGTTGCTGACCCCTTCTATTTAACAAAAAAACCCAGACAGTATCAAATGTATAAGGATTTAATAAAACAGCAGCCAAGGAAAAACTTTGCCTGAATAAAGTATAGGATCATAGGAACGCATCTCACAATGACTGCCAGAGGCCAAAAATGATCTCGAACATTTGCTGGTTTCTTCGTCATCTATGATAGGAAACTCAATCTCTGCTGGACCAAACAAGTAATTCAAATATGTCAGCTGTCGAATTGTGGTTTGCATTTTTCAATACTTTTTCACATTTTATAGATCAAACAATCGATCAATCAGAAAGAAATAATACTTCATAATAATTAACTCATGATGGCTAGATGTAATTGCAATACTGAAACAAGCACTAGAACTAGGGAGATGTCCCAACCATTAGGAAAGGCTACTGTCTGCTAAAAAAAAAAGAAGAAAGAAATTCAAGCTCCTATCAATATTATTCATTCTGGGTGAAATAAGTCCAAGCTCTTCTCCAAATTAACAGCATGGACGATACAGAAGTGTCCAGAACAGCTCAATTATAAATCAAGCTAATGAAGATAAGGCTGCAACAGGTGTGTGTGCACACAGCTTCGATTAATCTGCTGAAAAATTCAATAACAATATCCCAGAGCCCATGGTGACTTCATCAAACAGCCCAAAACCACAATGTTTTATTTACTACAATTTCAGCCCAAGAAAAGCAGCAGATTCTCACATTTCAGACACTTTTAGCTGATTTTTAACAAAGTTGACAATTAATGTTCAGACAATTGACTAATTGACTACTCATTGCAGCTCTAATGTACAGTTTAAAGGTCTGGTGTGTAGGATTTAGTGGCATCTAGCAGTGTAGTTGCTGATTGCAACATCCTCACCTCACCCACCCTTCCTGGCATGGAGTAGAAATTAAGGTGGTTGTGAAATTCATGAATTCTAGAGCCAGTGCTTGGTTTGTCCGTAAATCATCCATCTTTGCTCAGTACACATTAACCTTTCCCCACCCTCAGTGTGTAAAGACTTGATGGTGATTTTACACTAATTAAGAACCGGTGCCCAGTGAATCGATTCTTTGGAACCATTAGCGTGCCTGCTTAACGATTCTGCTTATCGGTTCCGCTGTGTCAAAATAAGTAATTTCATTGGTTACATTTTCGTGTTGTGACCTATCAACACATGGCTAACTTTAATATTCAAATGAGCCATGTGTTGATTTGCCACAACAGGGGCTCATGCGCAGTTGCTACCACCAGGCTGTCAATCAAGCTCTCAGCGACAGAGAACATAACGTTACCCTTTATCTATCCAGATAAAAACATTAAGAACAGTTTCTGTATGATGTTTATTAAACCTATGTAATCTGAATTGGAAGGGCAGGTTCTCATGAGCTGTATCTTGTATATTTATTATTAGCATTGTGGTATGTGTATGCACCTTTATGTAATCTGGTGGAAAAACATTAAAATTTAAAACCGGATCATACCAAACAAATATCTGCTTGCATGTCCCTGTGGATGCAAAGTGTCCTCCTTTTTGATGTGAAGGAAATGGCCACCCTATTTCAGTCTGTGTTTTTATTTTTTATGGCACATAATGGCAGTTGGGCTTAAAAAGCCAAACATTTATTTTTTTGTCTGGACCAATTAATGTGAAAATTAACAATTTCCTAATCCTAAGGCACTCTTGATAATCTTTCAAGGCACACACTAGCATGCCATGGCATACTGGTTGAGAAACACTGTCCTAGGCTATGGGTCCCTGGACTTTACTTTGAGAAGTAGCTCAACCTTTTAGGTTTGTTCTGAGGTTGCTACATATAATTTGTGTATACTCTGTGCTGTGTCTTCTGATCAGATATTAAAGCGAGTTAATACAAACAAATAAATTTGTACTTATTCCCTCACCCAGTGAGAATCGATAAGAGAATCGATAAGGAATTGGATCGATAAGCAATATCGATAATGGAATTGGAATCGCTAAATTCTTATCAATTCCCATCCCTAGCACTAATGAAACCATGAAATATATAATATTATATTATATATATATACACACCATTTCTGCCAATAGACATTGAACCTTTAAGTTAATAGACAATCTTTCACTGTTGAGGCAAAGAATACTGGACTGCACCAATTCTTTACTAGCTGGGAATTTCCAGCTTCTGCCTTTGACAGGAATGCTACGTGTTACTGCTTTAAGGCGACTGTGATCCAGCCTCTGTCCAGATCATGAAAGCTGTTTGCTGTTTTACACACTTGCTGTCTAAAGTCTCTTTCCTGCTACACAGGAAGCGTTTTATGTGTCCAGTTGAATTAAACACAAGAAGAAGAAGTGAGTGAACAGACAGGGAAGAGGACACTCAAACTTGACAGAAGGTGTAATTAACTAAGCAACAAAGGTAGAAGCTTAACAAATATAAAATAAGTCTTATAGTTGACAAATCCTGCTGTTTCCACAGCAGGTAATTCTTCAGTGTGACTCCTGAAGCCATATTTGAACTTAAATTCTTCCCTTTTCTCCTTTATGTTCTTCCTCTGATTTCATTCAGCATCTGTCATCAGACTGCCAATACAGAAAGAAAGATGCTACAATATGTGCAGGCCGAGATTTGTCACTGCTCATTATGAAAAAAGGTTCATAAAAGACACAAAGATGGAAGACAGAGGTGTGCAGTTTGAAGTCCAGCCTCTGTTTCTGTCGCTCCTGTTTCACATTACTGCTACTGCTCTTGCTGCTGGGAGGTATTTCTGGAAACCAATATTCGTCTTTTCTCCTCTCTCGCTCTCTCTCTCTCTCTCTCTCTCTCTCGTTCATTCTGTGTTGCTAAAAGAAAATAGGCACTATGACATCAGCCCTGCAAAACACTCTAAAAAAAGCCAGGAGAGAGAGAGAGACAGGGAGGGAGAAAGAAAAGACAGAGCAAGAGAGAGAGTGAGGTAAAAATAGTATAATGGCTGTGTGTACTTTAGACAAATTAGAAGCTAGGAGAGGGAGAGGAGTCACATGTGTAGCGTTGCTATAGAGACTGAGGGTGGGTCAGAAGTATTATGGGCTGGCAGACTGTAGGTCATCCGCAATGGATGTTACACCAAGCTTTATGTCTTTGACAACATCTGGTCCAATCATTTATACAGTAAGTTTGCATATTTTTAAAGCTGCACTAACCAATATTTTCATATTAACAATGGGTCCAATGACTATGTGTAATGTGAAGGATTTCACTCATTATTCATAGTGATGGACCCAAAAAAATGATCACCAACTCTGCAGTTCCCCTTAGCTCTATGGAATGTTTTAGCATCTTTCAGCTCATTGTTTTGGTTTACAGCCCAAAGCTTTGAAGCAACACTATGTAGACTTAGTATTTGTGCGATTTGGCGCCCCCAGTTGGAATACTACTGTCGGAAATATAAAAAATCTGTACACGTGCATTTGCGATGATTACATTACTTATGTTTAAAATCTAGCGGGTTGAAAACGTTGCTAACACAGCCAAACATCAAGCAAGTGCATCAGCACAAGACATAGCAAGCAGCTAATATAACTGACTAGTCCAAAAGCAAGAAGGCCAGCTCGCCATCTGCCTGCAGCTTTTCATTTCACAGAGCTCTCGCAAACAACTAAAAGCTTGTTTTCTCTACTTAGCTTCCTCCGTCGTCTCCTCACCCCAATCCGGTTCTAGCACAATCAGCGCCACTCTCCGACAGCATTCCTGCCCCTGTCCCACCAACACTCCCCCGTTGTTTTGAGCACCTAATCCAGTGCAGTACAGCTAAGCTAACTAGCTAACAGCAGCTAAAGGTAGCAGAATTTACTTGTTAGAGAGTTGTGGCAGAGCGGCTTGAGAACAGCAGAGGGAAAACCATTAAAAAAAAAAAAAGAAGCGTTTGCACTTGTTCTGACCCGAAACCAAAAGTTACATAGTACAGGAACAGGTGAACATGGTGGAGCAATTAGCAGCTAATGCGCCAGATATTTCCGTCAGGAGTTGGTAGCGAAGATAGTGAATATTGTTTGGAAAGAAACATGATGCCAAATGAAGGCAGCAGTTTCTAGTTATATTAATAAAAAAAACAGGTGATAAAGGGTTTAGAGATGGGAACTACAATTCATCATTTTGCTGGTGTGAATGGTTTCTTTCACACATTCATAGTCACTAGCTGTGTAGTTAGGTCATTTTTATGTTTTTTTAAGTAAAGCAATTGCATCAGTACACAAACGTCATCATATAAAATGCATAACCAGTTTTGGCAAATAAATGTGATCAGTATTAGTCCAGAGCAATGACGAAGACATAAGCAAGTGTCTGAACACACACACACAAACACAAATATACACTGACATGGGTTCAACAGTGAGCCGACACTGTAATTGCTGAAAAGAAGATTAGAGTGGAAACGTACTGCTTGTACCAATTAACAACCTGCAGCACTGAGAGGTGGAATCAAGCCACACTCCAACCCTGGCTCCACTCAGACTTTACTGTGGCAAGACCTCCATAGACATTATTGGTCTTTTAACAGCCTTTTTGCTCACACTCTAGATGTGTGTTTTCAGCATTAGATAAATTACTTGAATCTAAAGTAAAGATAAAAGGTAGTGTATCCTGGGAGTTGGCTGAGCACTTACCACTATGTCGAGTGTGAGAGTTCAAAATATGTTCTTCGAAGTTTGAAAAGGTTTGCAAACAAAGATTATCCATCCTTTTAAACTGACAAGGAGCAGTGTACAGCTAAAGATGGAAATCACGAGAGTGTGAGATTTATGGAACAGCGCCTGGGGTATTCTTGCCCTTTTTCTTCTGAAAAAGTGACTTTGTGCTTCAAGACTGAGGAACTCCTTTAACATGCTTTTTATTGCATCATCAAAACCACGTTGATGGGTCATTCTGACCCTTAATTTTGTGAGAGAAAAAAATGATGCACATGAAAAAAGGTAATATTCATGGATCATGCTCTAAGCTTTGGGGGATGTAAACAGAAAGTATGAGTTAGCTGCGGACTACAACTTGTTCTGCTCTTGAGCAATGAGCGTCTTTTTCTATTTTTTTACAGGGATTTATCAGGATGTGAACAGGAAGTATACTTTTTCAACGGATTCAGTGACAGAGTCTAAAAATATGTGCATCGTGTATGTGTTCAGATTTGACTGAGTTATGACACTGAATCAGAGAATTTTGACGCAAAATGCAGCAGTCAGGCGCTAAGGGTTTTAAAGCACCTTAATTGCCTTGATGAGCTGCGTGCCACAGCCACTGCTGCTCCAACTGCTGACTGTGTTGATAAGCAGGTCAACTGCTAACTAGCTTCCCGTTGTTTTTAGAACACCGGCATGCACCTGCATCTGTGCCTCTCTTTCCGTGCCCCCACTTGGGAGGCGCGCCTCACGGTTTGAAAACCTCTGACCTGCACTGTCTATCCTTGTATCCTATTCTATCAATAAAACCTGTGAGCCCAGCGCACACACACGTCCTCTATTTCCCCGAGACATTATAACACTTTTTACATTTGGATCCAAACCTTTTGTCTGATGGCCCCTCAAACCTCCAGCACACAGCAGCCCCCCCTCCCCACCTCTCCTCTCCCAGAGATGACTCACCGGCGGTGGGCATGGCAGCGCTGGAGCCCCTGTTGTCACTCAGGAGCTCCAGAGGCTGGTGGTGGCTGTCTGTGCTGGCAGAGGAAAAACAGGACTCAGTCTCATAGATGGTCTGCAACATGGCGCACAATCCTGACACCGTGGGATGCAACAGCATGCCAAGACAAGAGGCAGCACTCTATTTTGTCACAAAAAATTTAAAATAAAAAAATAACACACCAGTCAGTTCCTCTTGCGATACAGCGGCATGGCTTCGTTCAGGATTCAAGTTGCCAATGATGGGGGGGATAAACATCAAAATATGGTTTCAAAAATATTGAATTGTGAACTTCCAAATGTTTTGTATGCTTCTATTACCAAACTGATTGAAAAATGACAATGAATTCCATCCAAAATTCCAGAAAAACGTTGGAAAACTCCTCTGTGCTTTTATTGTGTAATCCAGCAAAGGTATCCTGTTTAGGCTGCAGTCTCTGTTGGATTTTTTGCAGGTAGCCTCTGCCTGTCAGTTTTGCTGGAGTTCTCCACAGTCTCTGGCTCTTCAGTTTGTGCTGTGATGGCCAGTTACTTAAGACAAAATCATCTTTTCTAATGTTGTCGCCTCAGCTGCAGCTTCAAAAATCCTCCCCTCTGCTCGGCTCGAGGAATGAAAGGGCGAAGACGAACAGCTTTAAGAGTCAAATTTAGGAAATGCAGGCTCTGTAATGACCTGAATGTCTACTTCACCTTGAGTCCCAATCCAGGCAGAACACTTTGCTCACTCCTGAAACAGTGACAGCAGCTGGTGCGCTGCAGAAAGTTTGTTTCCTCCGCTGCACTGAACCCTCTCTGAGTCTTCACCAACCAAACTGAGCAAGCAAAAGCGAGATCGGGAAGGAATCGATGTAAAGTCGTCGCTGTGTGCAGCCCGTGAAACCGTGCATTTCCACGGGCTGAGAAGTGATGGAAGGGATCAGTGGGGGATCGGTGGGAGAGCCGTGCTGCTGCAGCCTCTTCACCACTTCCCGCGGCTAACAACACAACACAAATGCAGAGACGAGGAGAAGCCGAATTCCCCTGCTCGGCTGCATCAAAGGATCCTCACGCTGCTCTCCTCCTGGACGACGAGAGGGAGAGGAGAGGAGGAGGAGGAGGAGGAGGAGGAGGAGGAGGAGGAGGTGGTGGTGGTGGAGGAGGAGGAGGAGGAGGAGGAGAGGCGAGGACGTAAATAGCTTTGGGAGAGCGCTCCCCGAGGTTCCATGCTTCCAAAATTAGAACGAAGCGCTGAGAGAATGACAGAGAGAGGGAAATGGAAGGAAGGAGGGAGAGGGAGAGGGAGACCAACGGAGCAGTATAATAAAATAAGAGGAGAAAATGTGAGGAGAGGAAGGCTGGAGAAGACGAGCGGGCGAGTTAGAATCCTCCCAGAAAAATGAACAGCCAGAGATCACACGCCGTCCTCTTATCCCTCGCTTGAAAACACAAAAAAAGGTGGGGGGCGGGGGGAGGCCGGCGCGGAGTGGAGCTTTGTACGGCGACCAGAAACAGCTGCTGGTCAGACGGCTAATATTCACTGTCTGAGAGTCATTGGTGTGTGCGTGTGTGTGCACAGGACAGTGTCTGTGACGCTCTTTGAGCTGCTGAATGAACATTGAGAGAGGGAGAGAGGAGACAGAGGGAGGAGGAGGGTGAGCAGCAGCAGAGAGAGAGAGCGAGAGAGAGAGAGAGAGAGAGCGAGAGAGAGAGGAGCTGAAAGTAGATCACTGGGTGGAAAGGAAGTTAGACGGCTGAAGAGAAAGTCAACAACCGCTCCTTTCGTTTCAGTCACAACACACAAAAGGAGAAAGAGAGACCCCTTCAACGTCCATCCCTCTCTTCACCTTCATTCAGTTTTTATTTTTATTCTGCATGTTTCTGGTGTTAGATTGGCAGATTTGTTTTTCAAGAATAAAGAACAGGAAGGGGAGAGAAGAAACATTTACTAACACAGGAGATGGGGGGTTGATGGAGGGACTATAACTGAAAATAGCCTGCCAGGGAGGAGGAGGAGCTAGAGATAAAAATAGACAGAGAGAGAGAGAGAGAGAGAGAGAGAGAGAGAGAGAGAGAGAGAGAGAGAGAGAGAGAGAGAGAGAGAGAGAGAGAGAGCAGTAAGCCTACAGCTCTGGGGTTGGGGGGGGTTACGGAGCAGCACTGTCATGTTTCTACACCGCACTGCCCACAGATCACCTGCCAATCAAACAGTGTGGGGGCGGGACTTTGACCCCCTCTTCCTCTGATTTTGTGCTGATGCAGTTTGAGTATCTAAAGGTGGACACTTGTTTTAAGCACAGTGGCCGCGCTCATGCCGCTGCACTGCCCAGTGTGCGCTGTGTAGCCTTGCGGCGCTGGGGATGGTGATAGCAGCGTTCCCACTGGTCCACCAGGACTGAAATATCTCAACAACCCTTGTATGGATTTTGTGATCCTTTTACTTATGCAGGGCTGTGTGTTGGCAAGAATCTGGCGATACGATACGTATCACGATACAGAGGGTTACGATTCAATATATTGTGATATATTGCTATACTGCAAGCTAGGCAATCACTAGGCAAGATCACCCTGTCATGGTTGCATAAAAGGAATGTCACCATAACAGAGTGATCTGCATTTGTATTTATCACAGTCGCTGTAACATCTTAGCCCTCAGTTTATGATCACAACAATGCTATCTAACAGTTGTAGGATAAACCACAAAAATCTATAATGTGTTTGAGAATCAACACATTTTCACTTATTCAGTAAATGCTGTATGTCAACATCTACTTGATGGATTGGCACCACATTGACACCCATGACAGAATTCAGAGTCTAGAGACGATGAATCCTGACTTCGGGGTGATCCTTCATGTAATGTAATTGTACCAATACCATCAAAGACTCTGCTGTACTTTGTGTTTAGAGCCAACTATATATATATATATATATATATATATATATGCAGATAACCCTCAATATTAGCTTATTGCAGACACAGCAGTGTCCGTATACATGTCAGACGATAAGCAACAAGGTTCCACTTTGTCCACCAGAGAGCACTAACAAGTAGATCTTTACATTGTAATATGGGCTGCTTAGTATGCATTTGGAGATAAAAACTAACCTATGGATCTATACAAAGATTCTCTGTTTAATGTTATGGGCTATAAGTCAATGTAAGCTTTCAGTACATGACTGTTATTAGTACAGATCTATGGACACATTTTGGTTGGTACCACCAAGAAATTGATGTTCGAAATGGAAATTCAACGGAGAAACCAGGTATAGGCAGTAATGTCTGGTTTTGACTAGTCCAAAACACTGATTGATAAAAGAATCCTGTAAATCCAATACTTTTAATTGGCAACACTGCCAGCAATGCAGAGCAGAGCAGAACTTTGTCTCTCTGTTGAGCTGACAAGAAATCAACACTAACTAGATATTACACTGACTCAGGCTTTACAGTTTGGTTTCCATTGGTTGGGAACTGAAGTCAAAGTGCATATCGACAAGTAATAAACAACTGGTTTAGAGGAAGAGGTCGACATTTTGTGAAATATGCTTTTTCTTTTTATTTCTTGCTGAAAAAAGCTCAGAGTATGAAGCTACAGCCAGTTTGCTTAGCATAAAGACTGGTAAAGGGGGTGGAAACCCTGCCAAAACAAAATCCACCTGCTAGCACCTCTGAAGCTCACTAATTAGCTTTTTATATCTTGTCGGTTTCAAAGGGGAATCTGTGCCCGACCAAGAAATAGATACAAATAAAAAATCCCAGTAAAACCACAATGTGTTGCTGTTTTTACACTTCAGATCAAACACTAAGTCCAAACTGAATGAAAAGCAGTCTCCATCATGTGTTGCACCTGGGAAATGTCATGGAGAATCACGGAAATGTCGCTCTATAACCAAAAGCTGCACTGCTTACTCTTCTCACGTCGCTGTCAGTGTTGATATTATTAATTGAAACTGCTGGCTGCTATTTATAGTATTTGTTTGTTCCATTCAGTCGCTCAGGCCTAAGTGAAGCTGTGCTTTAAGCGATAGGTTCCAGTGTTTTAACGGAGTGTAACGGGATGCCACTGACTGCTGGGGTGCATGGATTACAAAAAAACAAAGGATCAGAATGAATCAGGCTTTATGCAACCGATGCTAATACATAAAAAAAATCTCTGAATGGCCCCAGAACGATGTATGGAGAAGTGATAGAATATAATTTCAATAATGTAGATGATTTGGAGTCCTCTGTATTCATCTCAGGCTAACTGTTGCTGCTGTGATGACAGCTTCCTTTCCAGGAATGATAATATTTCATTGAATCATTTTATCATCACCTTCATACCACCTCCTCCTCATCACCTTCATCGCCCTAATCATCCTCACCTCCCGTGTAAACAGCTCTGTGTGTCCTCAAGCTGATTTCGGGCTGCCTCAGTATGACTCACAAGCAGAGAGACTAAATACATCGAAAGAGGAGAAATATGTTGAAAATTCATTGAGAAGGTCCTGTATTGGTTTACATTGACTTGAGCTGCTGCAATGCTTTTCTATTATCCAGTATTATAATGATTTATTAAAGACTTCTCCTGTTATCTTACATATCTACATCGTCATTTCCAATCACTCTGGCAGCAGGAGAGACAGAGAGAGATGCGACTGACCAGGCAACACGTCCTAATGGTCTCACATACTAAACACATCTGTTAAAGGTGTGTGTGTGCGTGCGTGTGTGCGTGTGTGTGTGCGTGCATGCGTGCGTGTGTGTTTGCCTACTGCAGTAGCTCAGTGGATGACTCATCTCTGCGTTTCTATTTGAGGCGCATCAACCCCTGGAGTCACACTGCTGTCTGTGTGTCTGTGTGTGAATGTGAGCGTTATGTACTATATCTGTATCCATGACAACCAAATTACAGTCAGTCAGTCAACCAACCAGTCACTCAGTCCGAGACAAAGCTGTCAAAAAAATACGAGAGGACGGCTTACAGGTGTACCCAATTAACCCAATTATTCTGCCAAACATTGATTGTCACAAATATACAGTGAACAATACACACTTTCTATGTCTCCATACGTTCACACCAGTTTATTTGTTATCCGATATATCCACCGACACTCCAGACACAGATTTAACTCGGACAGCAGTCAGAGCACATAACAAACAACTCCATGTTTTAGGACTACTCTTGATTTTTGGCATCCTGTTCAATGTAAAACCCTCCTAAATAATCTTATGATCTCCTCGTGTGGCCATTTGTTCTTTTACTATGACTTGTCCTACAGTAACTAAGGGTTAGCAGGCTAAAATGCTAAACTAGGATGGTAACATTATAACTGGGTAACATCAGCATGTTAGCATCATCATGTTAGCATTATGCTCGAAGCATCACTATGTCTATGTGGTTTCACAAAGCAGTACGTATGTATGGCAGTAAAGTCTTAAAAAAAGAAAAAAATAAAGTACTGTGTTTCTATTTTACAGGGAGTAGTGAATGAGTGAACAGGGGAGTGATTTCCAACACAGTCACTGCCATTATGCTGATGTTTGAAAGGCGTAACGTTTACCATGTTTGACACTGAATCTTAGTTTGTTAGCATGCTAACATTTGCTAATTAGCGCTAAAAGCAATTTACAGCTGAGGCTGACTTGTGACTACGCTGCTTATATAATACCTTCATAATTATGCAGGAAAAGGAAAGACATGAACATGTTTACAATGGACATAAACGACCATTTCGATCGCACTAGCTGTGACACCCGTCAACATGTTAATATTCCAAACCATGAGTAAGTGTTGTTCAAACTCTGACTTCATTTTGAGTTTGGGCAAATATTACTTACATATTTTGGTGATTTGTTAACTGGTATAAAGTATAATATTTTCAGCATACCTTCATGCATAGTTATCAACTGAACAAAAATAAAAACATTGTGGCATGTGCAAAGGCCTGGGCACGCTACACTGACAGCAAACACATCAGGCTTCTATAGATGTTCTCCTGCACTGGGGGCATCAATAACTTGTGCCAACTTGTCTGCACAAGGTTTGAGTTGTCAGAGTATTTGTAAAGTTTTGAAAATTGGCACCAGCTGACGTTTCCTAATCACAACTGTTAACGTACCTCAGGCC